TGGTCGTCTCATTTACTGAATGTGTTCATCAGAGAATTCCTCGTTTCTGTCAGGTTATTTTTCTGTCACTTTCAGTCGGCTCATTCTTTCAGATGAAACTGAACTGAGAAGGTTGAGTTGAATTCATTAAAGAAAATGTAAAAGACGACGCCTTGTTTTCATTATTGATGAATCTGCAGATTGTTTCTTGATCGAGTTTTGGATCAGAGGTTCTAGATTACATCTGTGTTGAGTAGAGCTGTGCGGTTTGTGTCCAGAGAGTCTCAGATGATCCAGACGAGGTTTTCACACATCGTGCAGAGTTCAGCAGCAGCTCATGGTGAGTGAATGTGTTCGTAACAATCACTATAAAGAACCAGAGAAGTGAAATGACACGTTACAGGAGTGTGTGCTTAAATGGCATCATAAAAGAACTTTAAGGCTCTGGTGGGTCAGAGAGGAGAATATCCCCCACCCACCCACTACACAGTGCAGATCAGACAGGAACACATTAAGTGAAAGACTCATCCTCCCATGATGCACCACAGAACGCCACAGGAGGTCATCAAACTCTTTAACTCCTCCCTTTGAGAGTAAAACACTTATAGCTGCTTTCACACCTTGAGAAAACTCCTGAAGTATTCGTCTTCTAGTTGATCGACTGACGAAAATTTTAAAAGTGATTATATTTAAAAATTCCTGAAAACCTCCTGAAGTGTTGGTGGTGAGCGTCACGTGTGAACACAAACAGCTGAATGTTTCTCTCTTCACCTGGAGTTTCTCCTCCAGCCTCCTTGTATTTATTCTGCAGAAAGTCAGAGTGAGCTGATGTGAGAACGCAGCAGGATATAATCAGGAGAATTCACCTGGAGCGAGTGGGAGGGGGTGGTGACGTTTATTCCCTGTGATCGCTGCACGACCATAGACTGTCTGCACGCCACCTCTACCATCTCCGTGCTCTAATGAACCTGCTGCATTATGTTTCCTGTTCTGCAGTATGTTCTTCTCCACTCTTTAGTTCAGATTGTGATTCTGTTCAACTACATGTAGCATTGATAGTCACAGAGATAGTCTCCTGCTGTGAGGTGCATGTGTGAACAACCAGATCAGGAGAATATCTGCAGCAGTCCTCCTGAAGTTATCTGGATATTTTCAGAATTGCAGATGTTAAAACAGCTTTAGTTCGTCTCTGGACTTCTTACTCGTAAAAAGAAATCAGTTCAGTCTGGCTGTGAACAGGTCAATCATTTCTCTCGTGTGCAGTCTTTAAATATTGTTCATATATTCAGTTCCCTGAGCTCGTACACAGCTTATTGTCTTAGTTCTGCTTATTCTACTTTTATATTTCTATATTATGTTTCTATATATTTCTATATTGTGTTTCTATACCCCCCCCCCCCCAGGATTAATAAAGTATTTCTGATAGTTTACTGAAATATAAGAGTAAACCAAACGGTTGCACAAACAATCAAAAGGCTGTGGGAGTTCAGAGGGAGCACTCGGCTGTGTTTGTGCGTTATATTTTTTTGACAGCTTTAAGATGTTTGTCTTGTAAACTTTTTCATCTCAGCTCATGCTGGTTGTGTAACGCAAAGATCAAAGGACAGCGTCATCATCATCCTGCTGGGTGACAGGTCAGAGGGCGGTCCGAACACTTAAGCTACAACATGCAAAGGTTGTGGCTGTCCAGAGAGAGAGAGAGAGGACGAAGCCACTCAGGTGAAGCCAGTGAGCAATCACAGGAAGGTGGGCGGGGTTTCCAAGTAACCAGCAAGCAAGCCATGATCGACCATCAGAGGGAGCCAAAAGCTCTAAAACAGAAAAAGTACCAGGAAAACACACATGGCCAGGGCCGTCACCCTCCCCATAAACAGAGACACACCTGTGTCGTAAACATCAGACTACTGCTCGAGAAAGAGCGTCTGCCATCACATTCTCTCGACCAATGATGTGACAAATAATCAAATCAACCTTTGATCGCTGTTCTGCATGCTAGACAGAAAAGCTAGAGGGCTATGGTCAGTGAATACCGTGACTGGTGTTGACTCTAGACTGTAAATACAAATGTTTGAAGCCTGAGTGACGTCACCCGTCTGTTCCTGCAGGGGGCGCTGGGCGTACAGTGTGTGTCAATCGAGTCATGAGTTAGTCAGACCTATTTGGTTTTTTCAACCAGGCTGTAAACATGTTAATCTCTGCTGTAAAAACAGGCTTTTTAGAATAGGTGTGTATGTGACTATAATAGATTTTATGAGGTCCAACATTTACAACACAAGAGGTGACATATTTAACCACTTCCTTAAGGTCCTCTAAGATTACATTATTGGCTTTGATAAAATCAGTTTGTTCATGTGGACACACGCAGTCATAACGATTAAAACAAAGTTAAAGAATAACCTGAATGCTGTGATTACAGAAAGCTCAAAGATAAAGAGAGGAGCAGCAGTAGGATGTGTCACGTCATCAATTACTCTGTAATGTGGTTGCTTCTCGACCTCTTTCAGAAAGGTGGTGTGTGCAGCGTGTGATGGCTGCAGCCGGCGCCAACATGGCGTTCATGTGTTTGTTGCACAGAGTTCCTTTTGTCAGCCTCATAGAGACCCCGTCACCTCCTCATGTTCTCCTCTCATGTCGTCAGTCTGTGAAACCTACAGAGCAGCTTTAATGATCTGATTTATCTGATACTGACGTTAAAAACATCTGATACTGACGTTAAAAACACAGACTTTATTAAAGGCCATGAATAAATATTTTTGAATTTCTTAGATTCATGAATGACATAAAGAAGAATGGATAAAAAGGCGAGGAGGCTTGTGCTCAGCTGTAAGTCAAAATGAATCCATGTAAATAAACTTTGATCCCTTTCACTTCACAAACTGTTTGCCCAATACCTCTCAGGATGGCGTGTTTATCAGAAAGCGGGTCTTTAATTGACGTGCAGAAATAAAAACATCTTTGTAAACAGATGATGCTTTTCAAACCTGCACAACACTCCTGAAAATAATTTTTCAACCCAACGTTACCCCGATACCCCGGGCACTGAGAGGTTTCTGTGAGGAACTTCCCATGCCTGGTTTTGCTGATTCATGGTCAATTCGTCACATACGTTTGCCAGTTCTGGCGTGTTTGTGTGACGACAATCAATTTCTACAGAGGTGAACCACCGTCTCTGGTATGACTAACTTCAGTTCCTGATTGGACGCTTTATGAATTGCCAGTGGAAAATTTTGCGTAACTGCAAAAATAAAGTCGTGGCTTCCGTTTCTGGTGAAACAAAACTCAACCCTTCCTGGTTCTAACGCATAGTAAGACCCCTCTGTAAATATTAAGGGGGCGTGTCTTCTGTGAGTTCTTTCCCAATAAACAAAACTTCAGCTCTGTGAGTTATTACACATCAGAGGTGATAAGTTACACCTGGAGCTTTTGTGGGATCTAGATAAACAATGCCCTTTGACCAGCAATAACTGGACGGATACTTCAACTGTGGAGAGTTTATTTTTGGACTGTTTGCTTTGGCTGCCTGAAACGCCCCATCGCCTCCTCGCTCTACCACCGCAACAGAAATACAAGTCTTAGGCACATATACAGATATGGGTTAGGTGGTTAATATATATATCAATACATGTGTTTTTTATAACCATTAGTTGCAGATAAACTCCTGCACACTGTCTTTATTGTACAAAAAAGTTGATGTTTTTGTGTAATTTAGACGGTGCTCTCTCTCTTCCTCTTTAGGTTAAAAATATGAGATTTTTTGTTAAAGCTTTGTTTCTTTTTGATGCGATCGGTCATTAAAATCACAGAGATCGTGTTGAAAAGTATCAAAGTTTCAAAATGCTTGACCTCCTAATCATCTCTCCAGAAGCTCAAAAACATCTGTTCTTTAAAAATAAAAATAATTAAGAAATAAAAAATGTTTTTAAACTGCAAAGTCCAGATATTTGAAGGCTATTAAACTGAAACATAATCAGCTTCAATAAATATCCATGTAATTGCCCCTTTCTGCATTCATACAATAACATAGTCATTCATGATTTGTCCGGCTCAATACCGCACAATACAGCCAATCAGAGCAGACGATACTGGTCTGTTAAATGCCTCACTTTTCTTTTTAAGGCTGGATGCCAAATTCCCAGCTTTATGAAATTAAAACAAGGCGGCTGTGACTCTGTGGTAGAGTCTGTCGTCTCTTAACCGTTGTGTCCGATGTGTCGTGGACAAGACACTTAACCCCAAGTTGCTCCCACTGCTTCGGCTGCAGCGTGTGAATGGATGAGTTAATACTGGTGTATTCTTTACACAGCAGCCTCTACCATCAGTGTGTGAATGTGTAGGTTTGACCTGCGGTGTAAAAGAGCTTTGAGAAGTCAGAAGACTAAAAAAGAAATAAACAAGCTCAAGTCCATTTACCGTAACTGTTTATTGTTTATTGTTATCGGTGAGAACAGTGAAAGAAAACAGCCTGATATTGGACACTTTTTAAGGAGAGATCTGAGCCTGCTTCCTTTCACGATGTATTTGCAGCCGTGATATTCATGTTTTTACTGATACTGGTGTTAACACGTTCATTTTAAGGTTCATTTGCCTCAAACAGCATCCTTACCTCGTGCAAACTGCAGTTCTTCTAAGAAATATTACAAAGTTGTGGTCATGAAACATGTAGGTTTCATGAATCCAAAATCACAGACCTTTAGTCGGTACCTTCAAAGGTCTCCAGCACCTCTTTGTTATAATTATATTATATAGAGCAACCAAACGAGTCCAGAGTAGTTTAAAACTGAAACATTCAACTTAAAGTAAACAGGTGCCACATGAAGATGATTGGTAATTGTATGTATTTCCTTAAAGTAAAATATTTCAGGTGAGATTTATTTCCAAAGTCTTTCATTTCATTAACACATTTGTTGACCTCTCGCTTCATTCTGGGTGTTGTCGTCTTTAACATCCTCAGCAGTGACGCAAACTGATGCTAATCACTACATGGTTAAAGGACTATAAAACAGACGAAGGGACACACACACCCACACACACACACACACCCACACACACACACACACACACACACACACACACACACACAGGAAAGGTGTGTGAGTGGAATAAAATTCAGTCAAGGTCAAATGTTTAATACCACACTGCGTGTTCTGAAGAAATCTTATCTGTGATGCGTCCTGTCCAGTGTAGCAGTAAATCAAAACTTAACGTGTTCAAAACTTATATTTATTTATTTACGTATTTGTTAAATGTTCTGACAATTTGGACTCATTGAGCACTGACACACACACCAGGGAGGTTTCAGCTGCTGGAATGTGATCGGGTGATGGCGCTTTCTTCAACTTTTGTGATTATTTTCTTTGCACTCATCTGCTCTTCCTCTGCTGGCAGAACTGCTTACGGTAAGATAATATATAAGACAATATATTTAAAAAAGACCTCCCCTTTCATTGAGTTCATTGTAGTAAAAAGTATTCATTAAATATTTCATTAATCCTGGAGGGAAACTGCAGTGTTGGAGTGTTAAATCGGCCAAATCACATAAATCATATAAAGCACATGTGAGGTAAGAAATACAAATAATTACAAACTAAAACTATAACTTGAAGTATATGAGTAAATATTCCCAATTTAATAATAATTTAGATATTTCCAGATTTCCATAACTCTTGGACAGGGCAAAGATACAAAAACACAAGTGCTAAATCTTGTTGTGGTCATCTTACATGTGGTCATATCCAGGATTTTATAAATACTCAGGTCGTCAGGTGGTTAAGGTGGTGTTAATGTTGCCTGTTAAAATATTTAAGATTCATTCAGTTTTTTAAAAATTCTACATTGATTTAAATACTTTTTGTCGTTGAGTGTCATAACATGATGATTTAAAAACTTTGTACTAAGATTGCTTTCAAGTCAGTTGGTCGTATTGAGTTTTAAATGTTTATTTGTTTTTCTGATTCTTAGAATAGGCTTCATGACTTAAAATGATTGGGATCTCATTAAAAACTTTCAAATGCATGTTTAACTCTGAGATTCAACATGGAAACTCCAAGTCAATTCTGAAAATTCCCAAGAAAAGGGCATTACCTTTTACTTACAATCAATAACTTGCTTAGAAACCTTGTTCCTTTGTCAACTAAAGCTCCTGTGCTAGCGACATAACCTCGATCAATCCCCTAGTTCTCTGATTTTCCAGTCTTGACACCAACAAGCTAACTAGCTTACTGAAAGAATTCATCTAGAGAACCAAAAATAATTCCATGAAAGAATATGAATAAAATGGATTGCAATTTTGTTAACAATAAGTGAACAAGTGGGACATTTTTTTATTTTGGGGCAATAAGCAGTGAGTTCTATCTACAGACCAAAGAGCCTACCAAGTTCACGATTGCATACGTTTAAAGTATCTTCTGAAGAGCTTGTCTACCGTAAAATGACATGATTCCATTTTGGTAAAAATGTAAATTGAAAATTTAAGCACGTAAAGAGGATGTCAACAAAAGATTACGATTCGGATTCAAAATCTTTATTTTCTCACAAGGAGAAATGTGTTTTGCAACAGGACCACAGAGAAGACTAAAAAAATAAATAATTTAAGTTAATCCAACAAAAAAAATGGTTTAAAACTTTTGTGAGACAAACAGGACTAGATAAACTCACCATATTCAAACTTTTTCTACAACAGCGCTTAAGAGTGGGCCAACTGATGGCAATCCCACATCTCAGAAACATGAGAAAAATGAGGTGATGAATGAGTTTTCAAGTGGGACAACTGAAGGCACCCTATATATTGATCAGCCTGGCACAACTGAGGCAAAAAGTGGACAAACAGAGGGCACGCCCACAACTGATCAGCCTGGTACAACTGATGCAACAAGTGGACAAACAGAGGGCATGCCCACAACTGATCAGCCTGGTACAACTGAGGCAACAAGTGGACCTACTGAGGGCACACCCACAACTGATCAGCTTGCCACAACAGATGCAACAAGGGACCAACTGAGGGCACGCCCACAACTGATAAGCCTGTCACAACTGAGGCAACGAGTGGACCTTCTGAGGGCAAACCCACAACTGATCAGCCTGCCACAACAGATGCAACAAGGGGACCAACTGAGGGCACACCCACAACTGATCAGCCTGGTACAACTGAGGAAACAAGTGGACCTACTGAGGTCACACCCACAACTGATCAGCCTGGTACAACTGAGGCAACAAGTGGACCTACTGAGGGCACACCCACAACTGATCAGCCTGGTACAACTGAGGAAACAAGTGGACAAACAGAGGGCACCCCCACAACTGATGCAACAAGTGGACAAACAGAGGGCACCCCCACAACTGATCAGCCTGGTACAACTGAGGAAACAAGTGGACAAACAGAGGGCACCCCCACAACTGATGCAACAAGTGGACAAACAGAGGGCACCCCCACAACTGATCAGCCTGGTACAACTGAAGCAACAACTGTACAGACAGAGGGCACCCCCACAACTGATCAGCCTGGTACAACTGATGCAACAAATGGACAAACAGAGGGCACCCCCACAACTGATCAGTTGTGGGGTGCCCTCTGTTTGTCCACTTGTTGCATCAGTTGTGGGGTGCCCTCTGTTTGTCCACTTGTTTCCTCAGTTGTACCAGGCTGATCAGTTGTGGTGTGCCCTCAGTAGTCCCCTTGTTGCCTCAGTTGTACCAGGCTGATCAGTTGTGGTGTGACCTCAGTAGGTCCACTGTTTCCTCAGTTGTACCAGGCTGATCAGTTGTGGTGTGCCCTCAGTTGTCCCCTTGTTGCATCTGTTGTGGCAGGCTGATCAGTTGTGGGTTTGCCCTCAGAAGGTCCACTCGTTGCCTCAGTTGTGACAGGCTTATCAGTTGTGGGCGTGCCCTCAGTTGGTCCCCTTGTTGCATCTGTTGTGGCAAGCTGATCAGTTGTGGTGTGCCCTCAGTAGGTCCACTTGTTGCCTCAGTTGTACCAGGCTGATCAGTTGTGGGCATGCCCTCTGTTTGTCCACTTGTTGCATCAGTTGTACCAGGCTGATCAGTTGTGGGCGTGCCCTCTGTTTGTCCACTTTTTGCCTCAGTTGTGCCAGGCTGATCAATATATAGGGTGCCTTCAGTTGTCCCACTTGAAAACTCATTCATCACCTCATTTTTCTCATGTTTCTGAGATGTGGGATTGCCATCAGTTGGCCCACTCTTAAGCGCTGTTGTAGAAAAAGTTTGAATATGGTGAGTTTATCTAGTCCTGTTTGTCTCACAAAAGTTTTAAACCATTTTTTTTGTTGGATTAACTTAAATTATTTATTTTTTTAGTCTTCTCTGTGGTCCTGTTGCAAAACACATTTCTCCTTGTGAGAAAATAAAGATTTTGAATCCGAATCGTAATCTTTTGTTGACATCCTCTTTACGTGCTTAAATTTTCAATTTACATTTTTACCAAAATGGAATCATGTCATTTTACGGTAGACAAGCTCTTCAGAAGATACTTTAAACGTATGCAATCGTGAACTTGGTAGGCTCTTTGGTCTGTAGATAGAACTCACTGCTTATTGCCCCAAAATAAAAAAATGTCCCACTTGTTCACTTATTGTTAACAAAATTGCAATCCATTTTATTCATATTCTTTCATGGAATTATTTTTGGTTCTCTAGATGAATTCTTTCAGTAAGCTAGTTAGCTTGTTGGTGTCAAGACTGGAAAATCAGAGAACTAGGGGATTGATCGAGGTTATGTCGCTAGCACAGGAGCTTTAGTTGACAAAGGAACAAGGTTTCTAAGCAAGTTATTGATTGTAAGTAAAAGGTAATGCCCTTTTCTTGGGAATTTTCAGAATTGACTTGGAGTTTCCATGTTGAATCTCAGAGTTAAACATGCATTTGAAAGTTTTTAATGAGATCCCAATCATTTTAAGTCATGAAGCCCTATTCTAAGAATCAGAAAAACAAATAAAACATTTAAAGAACTCAATACGACCAACTGACTTGAAAGCAATCTTAGTACAAAGTTTTTAAATCATCATGTTATGACACTCAACGACAAAAAGTATTTAAATCAATGTAGAATTTTTAAAAAACTGAATGAATCTTAAATATTTTAACAGGCAACATTAACACCACCTTAACCACCTGACGACCTGAGTATTTATAAAATCCTGGATATGACCACATGTAAGATGACCACAACAAGATTTAGCACTTGTGTTTTTGTATCTTTGCCCTGTCCAAGAGTTATGGAAATCTGGAAATATCTAAATTATTATTAAATTGGGAATATTTACTCATATACTTCAAGTTATAGTTTTAGTTTGTAATTATTTGTATTTCTTACCTCACATGTGCTTTATATGATTTATGTGATTTGGCCGATTTAACACTCCAACACTGCAGTTTCCCTCCAGGATTAATGAAATATTTAATGAATACTTTTTACTACAATGAACTCAATGAAAGGGAGGTCTTTTTTAAATATATTTCTTATATATTATCTTACCGTAAGCAGTTCTGCCAGCAGAGGAAGAGCAGATGAGTGCAAAGAAAATAATCACAAAAGTTGAAGAAAGCGCCATCACCCGATCACATTCCAGCAGCTGAAACCTCCCTGGTGTGTGTGTCAGTGCTCAATGAGTCCAAATTGTCAGAACATTTAACAAATACGTAAATAAATAAATATAAGTTTTGAACACGTTAAGTTTTGATTTACTGCTACACTGGACAGGACGCATCACAGATAAGATTTCTTCAGAACACGCAGTGTGGTATTAAACATTTGACCTTGACTGAATTTTATTCCACTCACACACCTTTCCTGTGTGTGTGTGTGTGTGGTGTGTGTGTGTGTGTGTGTGGGTGTGTGTGTGTGTGTGGGTGTGTGTCCCTTCGTCTGTTTTATAGTCCTTTAACCATGTAGTGATTAGCATCAGTTTGCGTCACTGCTGAGGATGTTAAAGACGACAACACCCAGAATGAAGCGAGGTCAACAAATGTGTTAATGAAATGAAAGACTTTGGAAATAAATCTCACCTGAAATATTTTACTTTAAGGAAATACATACAATTACCAATCATCTTCATGTGGCACCTGTTTACTTTAAGTTGAATGTTTCAGTTTTAAACTACTCTGGACTCGTTTGGTTGCTCTATATAATATAATTATAACAAAGAGGTGCTGGAGACCTTTGAAGTACCGACTAAAGGTCTGTGATTTTGGATTCATGAAACCTACATGTTTCATGACCACAACTTGTAATATTCTTAGAAGAACTGCAGTTTGCACGAGGTAAGATGCTGTTTGAGGCAAATGAACCTAAAATGAACGTGTTAACACCAGTATCAGTAAAAACATGAATATCACGGCTGCAAATACATCGTGAAAGGAAGCAGGCTCAGATCTCTCCTTAAAAAGTGTCCAATATCAGGCTGTTTTCTTTCACTGTTCTCACCGATAACAATAAACAATAAACAGTTACGGTAAATGGACTTGAGCTTGTTTATTTCTTTTTTAGTCTTCTGACTTCTCAAAGCTCTTTACACCGCAGGTCAAACCACACATTCACACACTGATGGTAGAGGCTGCTGTGTAAAGAATACACCAGTATTAACTCATCCATTCACACGCTGCAGCCGAAGCAGTGGGAGCAACTTGGGGTTAAGTGTCTTGTCCACGACACATCGGACACAACGGTTAAGAGACGACAGACTCTACCACAGAGTCACAGCCGCCTTGTTTTAATTTCATAAAGCTGGGAATTTGGCATCCAGCCTTAAAAGAAAAGTGAGGCATTTAACAGACCAGTATCGTCTGCTCTGATTGGCTGTATTGTGCGGTATTGAGCGGACAAATCATGAATGACTATGTTATTGTATGAATGCAGAAAGGGGCAATTACATGGATATTTATTGAAGCTGATTATGTTTCAGTTTAATAGCCTTCAAATATCTGGACTTTGCAGTTTAAAAACATTTTTTATTTCTTAATTATTTTTATTTTTAAAGAACAGATGTTTTTGAGCTTCTGGAGAGATGATTAGGAGGTCAAGCATTTTGAAACTTTGATACTTTTCAACACGATCTCTGTGATTTTAATGACCGATCGCATCAAAAAGAAACAAAGCTTTAACAAAAAATCTCATATTTTTAACCTAAAGAGGAAGAGAGAGAGCACCGTCTAAATTACACAAAAACATCAACTTTTTTGTACAATAAAGACAGTGTGCAGGAGTTTATCTGCAACTAATGGTTATAAAAAACACATGTATTGATATATATATTAACCACCTAACCCATATCTGTATATGTGCCTAAGACTTGTATTTCTGTTGCGGTGGTAGAGCGAGGAGGCGATGGGGCGTTTCAGGCAGCCAAAGCAAACAGTCCAAAAATAAACTCTCCACAGTTGAAGTATCCGTCCAGTTATTGCTGGTCAAAGGGCATTGTTTATCTAGATCCCACAAAAGCTCCAGGTGTAACTTATCACCTCTGATGTGTAATAACTCACAGAGCTGAAGTTTTGTTTATTGGGAAAGAACTCACAGAAGACACGCCCCCTTAATATTTACAGAGGGGTCTTACTATGCGTTAGAACCAGGAAGGGTTGAGTTTTGTTTCACCAGAAACGGAAGCCACGACTTTATTTTTGCAGTTACGCAAAATTTTCCACTGGCAATTCATAAAGCGTCCAATCAGGAACTGAAGTTAGTCATACCAGAGACGGTGGTTCACCTCTGTAGAAATTGATTGTCGTCACACAAACACGCCAGAACTGGCAAACGTATGTGACGAATTGACCATGAATCAGCAAAACCAGGCATGGGAAGTTCCTCACAGAAACCTCTCAGTGCCCGGGGTATCGGGGTAACGTTGGGTTGAAAAATTATTTTCAGGAGTGTTGTGCAGGTTTGAAAAGCATCATCTGTTTACAAAGATGTTTTTATTTCTGCACGTCAATTAAAGACCCCTTTCTGATAAACACGCCATCCTGAGAGGTATTGGGCAAACAGTTTGTGAAGTGAAAGGGATCAAAGTTTATTTACATGGATTCATTTTGACTTACAGCTGAGCACAAGCCTCCTCGCCTTTTTATCCATTCTTCTTTATGTCATTCATGAATCTAAGAAATTCAAAAATATTTATTCATGGCCTTTAATAAAGTCTGTGTTTTTAACGTCAGTATCAGATGTTTTAACGTCAGTATCAGATAAATCAGATCATTAAAGCTGCTCTGTAGGTTTCACAGACTGACGACATGAGAGGAGAACATGAGGAGGTGACGGGGTCTCTATGAGGCTGACAAAAGGAACTCTGTGCAACAAACACATGAAGCCATGTTGGCGCCGGCTGCAGCCATCACACGCTGCACACACCACCTTTCTGAAAGAGGTCGAGAAGCAACCACATTACAGAGTAATTGATGACGTGACACATCCTACTGCTGCTCCTCTCTTTATCTTTGAGCTTTCTGTAATCACAGCATTCAGGTTATTCTTTAACTTTGTTTTAATCGTTATGACTGCGTGTGTCCACATGAACAAACTGATTTTATCAAAGCCAATAATGTAATCTTAGAGGACCTTAAGGAAGTGGTTAAATATGTCACCTCTTGTGTTGTAAATGTTGGACCTCATAAAATCTATTATAGTCACATACACACCTATTCTAAAAAGCCTGTTTTTACAGCAGAGATTAACATGTTTACAGCCTGGTTGAAAAAACCAAATAGGTCTGACTAACTCATGACTCGATTGACACACACTGTACGCCCAGCGCCCCCTGCAGGAACAGACGGGTGACGTCACTCAGGCTTCAAACATTTGTATTTACAGTCTAGAGTCAACACCAGTCACGGTATTCACTGACCATAGCCCTCTAGCTTTTCTGTCTAGCATGCAGAACAGCGATCAAAGGTTGATTTGATTATTTGTCACATCATTGGTCGAGAGAATGTGATGGCAGACGCTCTTTCTCGAGCAGTAGTCTGATGTTTACGACACAGGTGTGTCTCTGTTTATGGGGGAGGGGTGACGGCCCTGGCCATGTGTGTTTTCCTGGTACTTTTTCTGTTTTAGAGCTTTTGGCTCCCTCTGATGGTCGATCATGGCTTGCTTGCTGGTTACTTGGAAACCCCGCCCACCTTCCTGTGATTGCTCACTGGCTTCACCTGAGTGGCTTCGTCCTCTCTCTCTCTCTCTGGACAGCCACAACCTTTGCATGTTGTAGCTTAAGTGTTCGGACCGCCCTCTGACCTGTCACCCAGCAGGATGATGATGACGCTGTCCTTTGATCTTTGCGTTACACAACCAGCATGAGCTGAGATGAAAAAGTTTACAAGACAAACATCTTAAAGCTGTCAAAAAAATATAACGCACAAACACAGCCGAGTGCTCCCTCTGAACTCCCACAGCCTTTTGATTGTTTGTGCAACCGTTTGGTTTACTCTTATATTTCAGTAAACTATCAGAAATACTTTATTAATCCTGGGGGGGAGGGGGGGTATAGAAACACAATATAGAAATATATAGAAACATAATATAGAAATATAAAAGTAGAATAAGCAGAACTAAGACAATAAGCTGTGTACGAGCTCAGGGAACTGAATATATGAACAATATTTAAAGACTGCACACGAGAGAAATGATTGACCTGTTCACAGCCAGACTGAACTGATTTCTTTTTACGAGTAAGAAGTCCAGAGACGAACTAAAGCTGTTTTAACATCTGCAATTCTGAAAATATCCAGATAACTTCAGGAGGACTGCTGCAGATATTCTCCTGATCTGGTTGTTCACACATGCACCTCACAGCAGGAGACTATCTCTGTGACTATCAATGCTACATGTAGTTGAACAGAATCACAATCTGAACTAAAGAGTGGAGAAGAACATACTGCAGAACAGGAAACATAATGCAGCAGGTTCATTAGAGCACGGAGATGGTAGAGGTGGCGTGCAGACAGTCTATGGTCGTGCAGCGATCACAGGGAATAAACGTCACCACCCCCTCCCACTCGCTCCAGGTGAATTCTCCTGATTATATCCTGCTGCGTTCTCACATCAGCTCACTCTGACTTTCTGCAGAATAAATACAAGGAGGCTGGAGGAGAAACTCCAGGTGAAGAGAGAAACATTCAGCTGTTTGTGTTCACACGTGACGCTCACCACCAACACTTCAGGAGGTTTTCAGGAATTTTTAAATATAATCACTTTTAAAATTTTCGTCAGTCGATCAACTAGAAGACGAATACTTCAGGAGTTTTCTCAAGGTGTGAAAGCAGCTATAAGTGTTTTACTCTCAAAGGGAGGAGTTAAAGAGTTTGATGACCTCCTGTGGCGTTCTGTGGTGCATCATGGGAGGATGAGTCTTTCACTTAATGTGTTCCTGTCTGATCTGCACTGTGTAGTGGGTGGGTGGGGGATATTCTCCTCTCTGACCCACCAGAGCCTTAAAAGTTCTTTTATGATGCCATTTAAGCACACACTCCTGTAACGTGTCATTTCACTTCTCTGGTTCTTTATAGTGATTGTTACGAACACATTCACTCACCATGAGCTGCTGCTGAACTCTGCACGATGTGTGAAAACCTCGTCTGGATCATCTGAGACTCTCTGGACACAAACCGCACAGCTCTACTCAACACAGATGTAATCTAGAACCTCTGATCCAAAACTCGATCAAGAAACAATCTGCAGATTCATCAATAATGAAAACAAGGCGTCGTCTTTTACATTTTCTTTAATGAATTCAACTCAACCTTCTCAGTTCAGTTTCATCTGAAAGAATGAGCCGACTGAAAGTGACAGAAAAATAACCTGACAGAAACGAGGAATTCTCTGATGAACACATTCAGTAAATGAGACGACCAATCCGACCAAACTTTTAATCCTCTGGTTTGAGCCGTCCAGCAACCTCCAAAAACAACACAACATCAGAGTGATCTGGGGTTCAATTTTACAGACGTGAAACAGAAATAAATTAATTTATAGAAACTAAAGTTCAATAAACCTGCAGAAACATTTTTACACATCCTGATTACTCAGCAGCTTCACCGTTCCAGTTTTAAAGGTCACATGTTATAACATCCTCTTCTCCATGTTTCTCTAACACTAATATGTGTCTCTGGTCTGTCTACAAACCCCCCAATGAGAAAAGTCCATCCTCTCCGTCTTTTGCCTGCTCCACTTTTCAGAAAATGTGTGCTCAAACAGGCCGTTTGGAGATTTTCCCTTCATGACATCACAGAGGGCAGTAACCCCTCCCCAGGTGGGTGACACTCCCACAGCTAGGTGTTTGTTCTGCCCTCTGAGTGTGCCTTCTCCCTGTAAACAATAAGACATAGAGCTAGAAAGCCTGACACACCCGAGCCCTTCTAGAGAGGGGGCGTGGTCAGACACAGCTCATTTACATATTTAAAGGTACAGACACAGAAACAGCCTGTTCTGAGCAGGGCTGAAATAGAGGGGTTTATAAACATGATCAAATACAGGATCAGAGTGGATTAATAACAAGAAACTTCACACGCATGTTTTGAGGAGCTCTGAGACTTATTTACACTGAAGAGGTAGTAAAATCAGTAAAGAAGACCAGGATGAATCTGACCAATGTTTGGTTCTTCTGTTCTGGTCTGAAACTCGTCCGTGCTGATGGGTGGTCAGAAATGTTTTATCAATAAACGTAAATAAAAAATCTTTCACGTTGACGCAGTTTGAAGTGGAACTTTTCTGCACTTTAAAAGTTTCACAGGCACCATGAAAGGGTTGAGAGGGGGGCAGACCCCAGGAACGTCCGCGTCCTGCTGTGATGTGGCGTTGCTGCTCTCAGATGATTGGCTCTCAGCGTCCTGTGGCTGCGGTGCGACCCCATCGCTGTGTGCATCAGTGAGGTTCTGCTGAGCGTCGGATTCGTCCCTCTCTGGAGCAGCTGGAGACTCGGTCGGAGTACTGAGTTGGCCCTGCAGGTCTTTGAGCACGTCTCTGGCCGTCATGGAGTCAGCGGAGGAGGAGAGGCTCTGATACACCTGCAGACACCAAGAAGAAGAGCAGCGAGTTGCTACCTTGTTTTCACCTGAAGTGATATGCTGGCGAGCAGGAAGTGATGTTTGACAGTATGTCTACATCATGATCCATTAACATGATGCTCAGATTCTGCACATCTGTGGAGACTCGTCTGGTTTGGACTAAATGTTTTCACTCAGCATGTCTTTTTTTTAAATAATTACTCATCAGGTCGAGTCAACACGTTTAGAACTTCTGTGTTTCCTAAAGACGTCAGCAGCTTTAACAACTCTGTCTCTAAGATTTACCTGTTTCAGGTGTTTCTGCAGCTCTTTGCAGTCAAGCTGTGGAAGCTCCTCGGGCAGAGACATCAGCAGATCCAGCATGATAGCACCCTCTGGAGGACACAAAAACATATCATGTGATTATTTATCCTCAGAGTCAGGTCAGGGTTTGTCTCCGAGGAGGACGCAGTCTGTCCAAACAGTCGTCCTTTGCACCAATTAAATTTGCCTTAAGTGAATCATGTGCTTCAGGACATCCTTTGGATCCTCCCCGAGAGTCTGCTGAGTTATAGTTTGAATTAAAATGTTGGATTCTGGGAGACTGGGGGTGAGACTTAGGGCACACTCAGGTCCTCAAACGTCCTTTAATCAGGGTAGAGCAGCAGCAGCCGCAGGCCCTGGATTAAAGACAATAAAGGACAATGAGGGTGGGGTCTGTGACTCACCCATGGGGGTCAGGTGACACTCCTCGTCGGGCTTCAGGATCACACTCAGGTATCTGTAGAGCCGCTCAAAGTCCACCACACATTTCACCCCAATAATCCTGGGACTGTCCTCCTTCAACATGCAGCTTCGACCTAACCCGGCAGGGAGGGCAGCTGCTGGGCTTGAGGGAGGGGGCGGAGTGGGCTTGGTAGCCAGTGTTGAAATGAGGGAGCTGATAGAGGGTGAGGCAGCAGGACTGGGGGCAGAGGAGGGGGGACTGGAGATCTGTTGCTCTGAGGGTTTCTGAGTAATCGTTCCCCCGGCTGCAGATTCAGAACTGGGTGTGACAGGTGCGGTAACCGGGGTAACCGGGGTGACGGGGGTCTTGGAGGCAGGCTGGGGGGATGCAGTAGCGGCTGTCTGACAGGAGGGGGGCAGCAGAGGCTCCAGTTTTTGTAGATGGCTCTCCCTGGAGTAGAGGGACTAGAAGCACTTTTGAGGGAGCTGGGAGTCTCCTTGCGGGGCCCATGGTGGGGGCTGGGGTCTTCAGGACCAGGAGAGTGGGGGCAGGGGAAAAAACACCTGGGGGGGATATTACACTGTTATGACTTTATCATAGAGCAGAAGAAATCGAAAAACAACGAGACATAAAAATGTTTAAACCTCCACAAAGAAGAGACAAAAATGTAGACAACGAGAAAACATAAAAATTAAACTTGTTTAAACCAGTCGAGATGTTTTGCATGATTTGCAGCTCAATGATTAACGTCTGGTCTGATTGGCTGCCCTGTCAGTGTGGACCAGGCGTCTCCTTCACACCTCGATGGATGGCGAGCTCTGTACCTGCTAAAGGTGTTGGTCTGAAGATGGGTCTGGGGGGAACGGTGCGTCCCACGGGTCTGCTCTGATCGGAGGTTTGTCTCTGTATGTTAGGGGGGTCACAGTTCCTCAGAGTCCGCGGCTCAGTGGACGAGACGACCAACATCTGACAAACAGAGAGAGAGAGGGTCACACACCTGAACAGGTAGAAACACTTAAATCTTCTCAGATACACCTGGAGTAAGGATGTCAAACCACATCAAAACCGGCATCAGCAACAGAAGTGCGACTCAAATATTTACTGAATTAGAGAGGACACCTGAAAAGAGAGAGAGGAAGTGTCGGGAGGAGAGAGAGAGGGGGACGACATGCAGCAAAGGGCCGAGGTCAAACCCACAGACACTATTACCCCAGCTTCCACAGAACCAGCACCCACGTGCACCTGGGGATGGTCCTGAGCTGGTTCACACGCAAACTGACTAAGAACCAGTTTGCTTTTCCACGGGCAAGGGGAGCTATAGCAGCCAGGTCGTGCCGTCACTGCATACAGCTCTGATTTCCCAACAACACTTGCACATCGAACCAAAGATTGGACGTTTTTGAAAAGCTTCTTTACTTTTTGATACTCTCTGAGACTGATGATGTGTAAAGACATAAAGAAACAGTCTAAACCTCCTGAACTGATTGAGTTTGTCGTCACCTGAGCAAAGGCTGTGTTGATGGTCTCTTCGAGGCTTCCCGTCACAGAAGACGCCATGTCAGTCCACAGCTCGATGGGCTTTTTGACCTTCCTCTCCTGCCGTCTCCTCCTCTCAAACTCAAAACTGGCGGACGAGATCACTTTGTCCTTCAGAGAGTCCACCTCAGACTGGATCTGCCCGGGGAACACAGAGTCCACACGTCTATTACCAAACAGGAAGTACATTTTAGTACTTCACCAAATCGATGACGTCGATGTAAGATGAAACAGGAAACAGGAAACGTTAATGAATTAAAACAGACGTGTAAATGATGTGTGTGCTAAAGACTGTAAGGGAAGAATCATAAAGCACACACAGGTTTACTATTGACAGTTATTGTCATTAATAATTTATTGGTTAAACGAATTTTTTGAAGAAAATTTAAGACTGTCAAACAAATATAATCGTGAAATTTCAATAATTTATCGTGATTAATCACCAATGCCTCTGTGCCTCCCTCACAAAGATCTTAATATCTAATGATATAACACATCAGAAGTTTTGTTTTTTCATCATCAACACCTGTTGTAATGTACAGCATTCAGCTGAAAGTCACCAGAATGTCACTCTTGGAGCCGTAACACCGGTGTCGATAGTTTCATTTTTACCGATATTGAAGTTTAAATTCCGCTTTAGTAAAACATGAGCTCATTAAGTGACTGTTTCTTGAGTTAAATACATTAAACAGGACAACAAACGTACCTCCTGAACAGACCGGGTCTTGATGGACTTCTTCAGGTCTCTGGGGTCCAGGTCTCCGGCCCCCATGGTGGTTCTGGACTGCCTCTTCAGCCCGCTCAGGAGCTTCATGTGCTCCGGTCTCTGCCACTTCACGGGCACGGGGGGGTGCTCAGCTCCGGTTTGGAGCGTTTCCGAGGAGGGGGCTTCATTCTGGGACCAAACGGACGAAACCAACCCGGAAGAACCGGACTAAGAGATTAATGTCACGCGCTCTTTCAGTAACGTTAGTCGGTAACTCTCTCCGTTTTAAATATTTTTAATTTAACGTTTTACTTGGTTTAAAACCTGAGATTTCACAGCAGAGACAAAACTGGCAAAACACAACGCACCGCTGGATCAACAACTATACTACTTCCGGGGCAATGCCTTCACAATAAAAGCTACTTCGTTTTTTGTTTTTTTTTACAGATTTATTTTAATTCATAGACTTCTTCTCTGAAACGAAATCTTTGTATATCTTTGTATAATGTATTTTTGAATACATTAAAGCAAGCCTTTAGTATAAGTGGCTTTCACTGTTTTAACTTGAAGGCTTGGGTTATTACTGCTTCCTGGTTCACAAAGTTCCAAATTTAATATTTCGCCCTGTTTTAAGACTGTCAGGGATTTACCTCCACACATGCTGTTTATTGTTTAAACAAGCGTCGAGACATGCCTCATGGCGAAGGCCACTTGTGTTAGAAACGCTTAAATCTGGCTCTGCATGCGGTACAATGACCCTAAACAACTGACGAGAACTCTACCTGTAAGACTAACCGCAGGGAAATCTAACACGGCAAACCGGCAGGCACGTTCTCCAGCAAAACGGAAACCAGAACTTAATTTGGAAAGTTAATAGAAGAGCTGAACGTTTGTGTTGAAACATTGAGACTCATATGAGAAATTAAAAGACATGTTTTCAGACTTTCACCAATCCAAAAGTTTCTTGGCAGCGGTGGGATTCGAACCCACGCCCCCGAAGAGACTGGAGCCTTAATCCAGCGCCTTAGACCGCTCGGCCACGCTACCGTTGGAGACAACATGTAGTCAAATTTAACATAGATATGTGATATCAATGATTCTCACGGGGTTTGTTGTTAATCCTTTAGAGTTACTTACAAAAAGTTACAGAAGAGGTTGTGTAAATTATTTCTAAACGTCCCCTCACCTTCACACCAAGCAGCGTGCTGCTGTGTGAAAAAATTAAGCTGATGCTGAAGTGTAAACTCCTGCAGTTCCTGGAGTGTCCACTAGAGGCTGGCTTCAGAAGCAAAGGAAGTCACATACACACCCATTCTAAACAGCCTGTTTTTACAGCAGAGATTAACATGTTTACAGCCTGGTTCAAAAAAAACAAATAGGTTTGATTAGCTCATGTCTCGATCGACAAACACTGTACGGGGGGGGGTGAATGTTTTAATGACTCATCGGTTTTGATTTGATGAAGGATAAGAGTTATTCACAATAAGGCGTGTAGCTGACCTGATTGACAGGTGGGCGCGGTGTAACGGTTTGTCAGGAGGCTTAAAACCCGCCTCAGCTCCAGCTCTCAGCCTGTGGTTAGGTCGACTGAAAGTTAGACTGAGACAGCATTTCCAGCATGGAGACCGCCATCGATGGGACTCCAGTGCCCCTGCAGGAACAGATGGGTGACCTCATTCACTCTTCGTACATATTTGTACTGTACAATATTTACAGTGTATGGGCGTCACCTAACCGCTAGTCCATCTGCGCCCCCACTGGTTGTGAGTGTAAAGCAACAGTAACTTTTCATACCTTCAAACAGTCGTTTCAAAGTCAGTCTAATAGACCAATAACCTCCAACAGGGAGAACGGCGTCTCTCGTGTTCACAGAGTGCTCCGCTCACCTGTTTTCAGCAGTATGTAACTTTGGCAGCGGGCCGCGGCTATCTGGTGAGAAGTGTGTATGTCTTTACTGCACTAGAAAGCTTCAAGAAAGAGGCTGCAAGTCAGACACCGAGCGGGTTATGTCGATACACCATGTGTGTTTTACTGAAGTGCAGTTACACTCAGAGACCTTCAGCGGACGCCAAATCGCATCAAACAGAATCCCTCCATAATGTTGTGTTAACAGGTTAATTAGGGATTTTATCTGTCTAAGTCCCTGGTTGTTAAAAATTAGTCTCTCTGTGTGTGTGTGTGTGTGTCACCCTGATGACATTTTATAGAATGATCGGCTTTCACCTGAGATCTTAGCTGTCTGTTTAATCTTCATCTTCTATTTTCACATAATACAGTGTACGTGTGTGTGTGTGTGTGCGTTTGTGTGTGTGTGTGTGTGTGTGTGTGTGTGTGTCTTCGATCACCATGTGTTTTCTTCATGGAAAGACTTCTGTTAGTGTGTTTGAGCTGCTCCATGTTGACTTTAACACGCTCATTCATCTGTTTGATCAGCTGCTGTGTGTGTGTGTGTGTGTGTGTGTGTGTGTGTGTGTGTTCTGCAGTGGCTGCATGATGATGATGATGTTGGTGGTGGTGGATGAGTCACCCAGTCTTCACCACGTGACATCATGAATCACTGCACCTCTCCTCCACGGGCAGAGCTGCATTCCTCCACTCCTCCTCTCACCCTCTCCCCTCCTCTCCCTCCTCCTCTCACCCTCTCCCTCCTCTCTCCTCCTCTCCTCTCCTCTCCTCTCCTTCTTACTTTAGTCCTCTCCCTTTCATCTCTCTCCCTCCTTTTTTTATTTTTACCAGCTTCTTCTCAGTTGGTTCTATTTCTGTGCAGCTTTATTCTAATTTTATCCTCCTGTTTTCTTATTAATGCGTGTCCTCGTGTCTGTTCCTCGTGCCTGCAGCCTCTTCTTTGAGTCCTGACTCGCTCTAACTCGCCTCCAGAACTTTGTTGGAGCGTGACACGAACATACCTCTGCTTTTTCTGCTGTGTGTGGGTGTCACAGCGTCTCCCTGCAGCCCACAGGCCGCCTCCCTGATGATGATGATGGAGGCTCTAACCTCTAATCACGCCGCCCACCCCGAGCAGCGTCACAGCAGCCTGATGGTGTCCTCTGTCCTCTTTGATTCAGACACGGGGATTATCATCATTAACTCCTCCAGATTAAACCATTCATCATAGGAGGATTATTGGCCTCAATTCCACGGAGTAACAGCGCGCTGATGCTGCCGATTAAAAAAACATCTTCTCTTATTTTTATCTGCTTCGTTCATGATGATTTATTTAAGTGTTCTCATATTTTCCCAAGATTCTCCCTTCAGCTCACAGTTTGTGTTTGAGATCATGAACACAAACTGTATTATCCACACAGGCTTATTATTCATCTTCAGAGCGGCAGGTTAACTGCAAACATGATAGAGAGAGAGAGAGAGAGAGAACTAAACTGCATCACCACATTGGCTACGTTTCAGTCCCGAGACCTCACCAATGTTTCTGTGCAGGACAGCGTTACATCCTCTATCATGAAGTGTGTAGGACCGTCAAGCTACAAAAGGAAAAATCTTGGCTCTGAAGAAAAGAAAAGAAAATGAACTCATCGAGGGGAAAAATGAAGTCAAATAAAATGTAAGGATGTTTGTCCACTCAGGGCTTCTATAGACTACAACCCACCAATCGTGTGTGTGTGTGTGTTTGTTTGTGTGTCTGTGTGTGTGTGCGTATGTGTAGATTAAAATAATCTCTGTCCACACTGAAGCGTTTGGTAATAAAAATAGTCGACTTTATTCGTTTCTTTCCACGTAGCAAAAGTAGTGATTGACATGCGCGTATTTACATCCAGCTAACGCATGTTCATTACCATGGTTACAACAGAGTACATCTACAGACACACGACTCCCCGCACACACACACACGACTCCAACAATGACTTAAAGGTACACCAACGTCTTTGTTTCTTCATCTTTGAGGTTGTTTTTTTATACTTTTTTCATTGATGCTCGATACGAAGTTTTAGATGCAAGAATACGTAAACGTGCAGACACGTCCTCTTAGCTCCGCCCCCTCCTCGCTCTCTTTTCTAGCGCATTAAAAAACAACAAATTATTCAAAGTACAAAAAATCCTCCACTCTGTTTTTTTATACCTTACGGCTTCATTTTGACATTTTCTAATAATGAGATTGTCAAATGTCTTTAAGCTTTCACTCCAGAGAGACACGAAGGTCAGAAACACAGAATCAAAGAGCTGCGTTCGTCTCAGTGACGTCGAGCGAGCACGGATTCTCAGGACACAGGTCCGTAAACAAAGTCAATCTCAGCAGAACAATGTTTTCTTTTTTTGCAGGTTTAAAAACATTTTTACAATCATGTATGAATCATCTGATCCCAGCAGTGAAAACAAAAACCCCTGGCCATGTGTTGTTCTTTACTGTGTTTCAGACGTGACCTTTGACCTCAGTGATCTCATGGACGTGACGTCACAGTGACGTGATGTAAGGCTGCAGATTTCTGCTCAGCTTGACTTGTTTAAAATGTAAGACACACGGCTGAGACACATTCAAAGGACAGACGTTACAGAGTCTGAGCTGAAGATGAAAAATTATAAAAAACACTGATCGTCTCGTTGAGCTAAACGGAAACGTTTCAGCGGCACTTTGATGAAACCATGACGGCGTTCTAAAGGACAAGGCTGCAGATGTTTTGTGTCCCAGCTGTGCAGAGACAAACAGACTTTGAATAGATCACACTCACGTTAAGTCTGCAGAGCCTCTAACATCTTACTCCTCAGTGAGAGCCGCATCGTGGTCAAAAACAAAACAGTAATTTTTCTGATGAAGAATTCAAACGTTCACCTAAAACGTGATCTAACAAGGTCTCGTGTTCACTGAGCTGTGAAACAAGTCCAAGGTGTTGATCACAGACTGCACGCTGCTTTCGGAAGGACTCATTTGCATATCAATACAACGCGGCCCAAACGTGTAGATTAATCCGCCGCTGAAAATAGTCCCTCTACTGTATTTTATTTATCTCTACAGATCGAAGAGGGATCTAAGAAAGACATCGGTCGATACATATCATATCGGTATCGGCCCCAAAAATCTAATCTCTGTCGAGCTCTAGATTCTAGTCAAATCAAAAATGGGAACTTTCTTGTTTTAGTGACCGATGAATAACTGTAAACAATCACCTGCACACAGTCCTGATTACACCAATATGTTGGCAATGTGCTGTTTCCCAAATGTTGGTTACACTCAGAGACGTTTAGATTGAATCCCTCCATGACGTGGCTTTACAACTTGTCTGAAGTATCAGATAAAGGGAAGATTCTGACGACCTTATCTAACTGTAAACATGTTGATAAGGACGTGTAAAAGACGGACTGAACCAGGAGGAGGCGAAGACGAGCCGGCGAGCTGTATTCAGGATTCAGTTTTAAGTAAAAGAATCTTCATGTGTACTCTGTGAGCTTTGAGCTGAGAGCATCAGACATGTTTCAGAGGGATGAATCAGTGATCTCAGAGCTGCAGCCTCGTCCTTTCAAAGTACAATCTGCACGTATGTTTGCCTGCACAGCTTCATCGCTGCCAAGGCGTCAGCTCTAAAAGAATGCCGTATAGACTTTGGCCGGGGTTCGGCACCATAGCAACAAGGTAATTGAAGTTATGCAAAAGGATGACTCATGGAGCCATTATAGCAGAGAGCGAGCGAGGCTCCACAGCGGCTCAGGAGAGCTGCTGTTTACTGTAAAGAGCTTTACAGGGAGAGCGGGTTTACTTTATGAAAACATCTCGTTCTGCTTCTTCACACAAAGAAAACTCAATAATACATTTGCATTCAAATGTATTATTTAACAGATGAAACTGTTCATGGCTTCAGCATTATGAGGCCAATCCCACTTTATGATTAATGTTGGTTTCATGTCAACGACATCAGACGAGAGTCATGTGACCGGTCTAAAGTATGTGGACTCCAAGTAAAACTGTTTGTGTCAAAGATCTCTTAAAGCTCCAGAATCCATATCTCTGATACTGCTGAGGTTTAAGGTTTCAGTTTGGTCCTAACAACAAATTCCCTGCGTACAGCTAGAATCATAGACTGTATATAAGAAATGGACGTCACCCGTTGGTTTCCAATTGGACTACTGGTTCAAAGCCTCCAGTTTGGCCTGTCAGCAGCGGCCATCTTGTTTTTAAAGAACCAGAAGTGACCATATTTGGACAAGAGGGTGGAGCTGCAGAGGTGCGAGGGTTTTTCCTCCAAATATGGTCACTTCCTGCCATCCTAGTGTCTTTTAGTTTCACTGGAGGCATCGAGAAGTTGACGTTTGCTGCTATAACCTTTTCTCTTAAGATTTCTTCCCGTCTGATCACTTCAATCCTGAACCCGTTGATTGACGCTATGAACTCTGTGACCTTTTTCATCTTCTCAATCCCAGGTAGCCCCGCCCTAACTCCTCCCCTCTTCCTGCTCTCTTTGACTCTAAATGGTTCCATCATTATACTAAATGAACAGCTTGCTGTGTTGAAGGGAACTCGAAACTATAGATTGAGAACATAAAGTCGTTATGAAAATGTTAACTGAGGGAATAAACCAGAACAGAACTTTCTATACAATCACTTCTTTTTCTAATCCCCTGCTGGACATTAGAGAGAATGCAAGTTTAAGGCACTTCTGCATTGACGTCCCTTCTTATGCACGGCCTATGATCAGACACTGGCCGCTATCTTTGAGCTGAATCAGCACATTAAGGGGAAAAGTTTAGCGTCCACATACTTTTGGCCGTGTAGTGATTCTGAAAGATTTCCCTGCCAGAGATAATGACACAAATGCTCTTTTTTTTTGCAGCCATCAAACATTTCCCAGCAACCCTCACTGACTCATCAGACTTAAAGGTACAGGTAACAGCATGTTCAAGCGTCCTCCTTTAGTTGGCATTTAAAAATGTCCACATGGAGAATGTTGACATGTCGGGAGTTTGGATGAACAGTTCGAGCATGATGCAAATCTCAGCCGCATCGTGCTTTTTCAACATTCATCCTGTTCTCCCTCCTCCGTCCCTGAGGAACAGGAGGAGTGTAGATGTGAGTCGTTCGTTTTCCTTTCCCAGTCCTCTTTAACATCATGTCCAATCAACCAATCAAATAAACAAAGGACATTTTTTAAATACGTAAAACAAAACCAGAAATAAGAATCATAACGAACTCTCTTTCCTCTTTTTTTATCCTCTTTTTTCGCTGTCCCTTCCTTCCCCCTCTCAGTCTGAGATCTGCGGCCTCTTCAGGAGAATCTGCTGGATGTATTTCTCCAGGTTGTCACGGCTCTCCACTTGTTTTCCTGCCTCGTAATAATCTTCGTTTCTCGAGGCTGCGGCGGCCGGAGCCGAGAAATAAAACTGCTTCTGCTGAGGGGGCATTACGGGGACTCTGACGGGCTGAAATGTCCGGGGGTAGAGAGGGCGGGGGTAGCTGGGGTAGTAGGGCTTCTGCTGGAGGCCTGCAGGGGGGTTTCTGAGCCGCGGTTGGACCCAGCTGTGATAGCGGCGTCTTGGTGGGAAAGCAAAGGGGTCGTCCATGGGATTCACTCGGGTGAGGGCGGGTTTAGGGAGGTAGTATCGGGGTTTGGGTCTGGGGGGAGGAGGGTAGTAGATGGGGTAGTAGTCTGGATAGGGCTTCCTCTGGTAGTAGGAGGGGTATCTGTAGGGGTAAAAGGGGTATCCAGTCTGAACAGGCCTGGGCGGTTTGATCCAGACTTCCTGTTTGATTGGTTTCTTGGGTTTGGACCAAAGATTCTGATTGGCTCGCCAAGGTTTGCTCCAAAGTTCCTGTGATTTTGTCGGCGATTTCTCCTGGAACCACGATTTCATGAGATTGACAGCGGGAGATGGTTGCTTAGAGACGGGGAAGCTGTTCTGATTGGTTGGCGATGAAGACAAAGCTTTGGTGGACGAGTAAGCAGAAGAGAGCGGCGGAAGAGGTCTCTGCCAATGAGACGAAACCTCAGAGGGGATGTCCTTCTTCTTCTTCTTCTCCACGTCGCTGATGATGTCGACCACGTCGTCAGCAGGAAGGTGGAGCTTGCTGGAGATCTCGATGAGCTTGTCGATGGTCTGGGGGTCGAGGTCTTCTTCCTCTGTCACCTCCTGCTCGTCTGACCGCTTGTCCTCTGCAGCGTTGGACAAAGACGAGCCATACTTCCTGTTACCATTGTTCTGCTTCACCATGTAGCGCAGCAGCATGTCGGAGGCGATGTCTGCCAGCTTCTCCTCCTCCATCTTGGCTTGCTGTGCCTCTGCCGCCTGCCTCCTCATCTCCTCCTGCTCCGCTTTGGCGCGAGCCTCCTCTTCCTCAGGACTCAACACTTCCTCCTCCTCCTCCTCTGGCTCCTCCTCCTCAGCCACCTCCTGCTCTGATGAAAGCTGCGACTGAACTGCGTTGTTTCCTGCTCGATCCTCAAAGTCGTCCATGAAGTTTCCTTCCCTGAACACCGGGAAGGCGACTCCCTTCTGCGTCTCCTCCTGCCACTTCAACTTCTTCTTCGTCATGGCGATGTCACTTCCTTTGACGGGTAAGACCTCGTTGTAGCTGCTCCATCCCCGGCTCTCCCTCTGGTTCTGGTCTCCCTCCCTCTTTGTGGCCGTGTTCAGACTAGGAAACTCCTTCATCATGGTCTCCAGGCTCTTCAGCTCCTCTGGGCTGAGCTGTTCCTCCTCCTCCTCATTGCTGCCTTGGTCGGGGTCATGGCGATGTCACTTCCTTTGACGGGTAGACCTCGTTGTAGCTGCTCCACCCGCTCTCCCTCTGGTTCTGGTCTCCTCCTCTTTGTGGCCGTGTTCAGACTAGGAAACTCCTTCATCATGGTCTCCAGGCTCTTCAGCTCCTCTGGGCTGAGCTGTTCCTCCTCCTCCTCATTGCTGCCTTGGTCGGGGGGAGTATTCACTCCCCGCGTCCCATTCTCCCCTCCTCCGTCTGGACTTGGAGGCTGCGGCTCTGCTTGGACCTGGACTGTCTGGCTTGTGGTCCGACTGGTCACCTTCTCCGTCATCCTGTCCTCCTCCTGAGCTTTCCTCCTCTCCTCCTCTTCCTCTCGTTTTCGCTCTTTCCCCTGAGCAGCCATCAGCATCTCTAACTCCTTTCGTCCGTCTCTGTCTCTGTCCGCTCCCTTCATCATTCTCACCTCTCTGTTTTCCTCCTTCGTCTCAGAATTCGTCTCCTCTTCCTCCCTCCTCCTCCCCACATCCGAGCGATTGAGCGCCTCAAGCAAAACCGCTGCGAGGGTTTTTGGATCCACATCTTTGAAGAGCTCCTCTTCCTCCTCTGCCTCCTCTCTCTGTACTGATCGTCTCTCCTCTTCCCATCTCTCCTCCTCTACTGTGACGGTCGGAGCAGGAGGAGAATCTCTGTGCAGGTTATCACCCTCCTCAGGGGTGTTCATAGGGGTGGGGGTGGACGGACGGAGGAGGGAGGCCCCTGTCAGGAGGAGCAGCAGCAGGGTAAGGGCACTTGAGGCATGGTGGTACCCAGTCATGGCCGCTCAGAATGGGGCCTGAAGATGAGAAACACCTGGAGGAAAGAGAAAAACACAGAAAGACGTCGTCACTTAACGCCCAGATTTTTTGTCTTGTAGCGGAAAATCACAGTTCAACATCCGAAAAATATTGTGTCCTCTACTGCCCCCTGTGTTTGAGTAACCAAACTGCACCTGAAGGGTCTTTGTCAGATATGGTCTGATTAGATAACGATCGAACATTTGCTCTATTTAAGGGCTGTCAGCATTATCACGCCAATCAGGATGCAATTAAATTCAGAACGTTAATGCATTAAGTGTTTTTAATCGTGATTCATCTCCTGCTATTTTGTCCCTTCAGGCTCACCGTAGATAGTCGTCCTCAATGTGGCTCCTTTCCCTCATGTCATTCCCCTCCCTCTCTCTCGCTCTCTTTCGTCACGTCCTGTCTCCAAAATAAAAGCATAAAACGCCCTAAAAAACAAAAAACTTGAAAAAGGTGACGTATGTTGCTGAAGAGGTGGTACCTTCCTTACAGTATTTTAAACTTTAATATCTGACTTTTCACGAGTCCAAGCTTCTTTTATTGACGTTGCTGATTGATGGATTCTGGATGAACATTTACTGTGATGAGGCCAATATTCAGTTTGATCTTATAACTAAGGAGAAGAAACCAGAACATGTTCCCTTATGTCGAGCTGGAAGAAGACATTCTGACAGTTTTCTCTTCCAGAATAACTCAAACTGATCGATCAAATCAGATTTCTTCGCCTACACAGAGCGAGAACATGAAAACATAAAACATACATGCATTAATGCAGCAGCACTGCAACACAGTGAGGCTGTTTTGCTGATCAGCACCAAGGACAGCTCCCTGTGGTCTGGAGGGGGGGGGGTCTATTTTTGGTGATGAAATCCTCAACACAACATTCCCAAAGTGCAACAAGTGCACTGACAGTCACATTTCGGTCTTAAAGATGAGTAAACACACAAACATGTTGTAATGTAACTGCTAGATGAACCTGCTGCTCTTCTTCTGTGGTGCTGCACGAGACCACGTCACAGTGTGCTGCAGACACTGCGAAACATGTCTGCAGGAATTCTGCTGATTTTAACGTGAAAAACAAAATCTGCTTTTTCAAAACATGAAAACAGATTCAAACACGCAAATAAAATGTATCATAATTAAGAACAATCTTCAAATCGAGAACAACAGTATTGTGCAGGAAAAACTTGACATTTAATGCATCTACGCTGCAAAGGTGTTCATTTATATATATAGATATATATATATTTATATATATAAACTAAAGGATAATTGAGCGGGAGAGGCGCGCGCATGTTCCGCAGCTGCAGCGGAGGTGGCGGGATGCAGAGGATGATGATGCGTGATGTGCAAACACGCAGCGAGACAACAACAGAGTGCAACATGACTAATCTCATCCCATCTCATCTCATAAACACGCGCGCGCGCACGCACGCACGCGCGCACACACACACACACACACACACACACACACACACACACACACTACATCACAGTGGATTTATAATCTGAGGGAATAAAACATCCTCACGCTCACACAATCACGGACGTCAGTGGTGTGTGTTTACAGATATTCAGACACGACAAAAACTGAGGAATCACAATCTGAGCTCTCAGCCACACCAAACCGTCCAATCAGCCTAATTTTCAATCAGGTTTTGTTTCTGGCAGAGCGAGTCATGGTGACGGTAACTGTGATGAAGATGATGAAGATGGTGATGGGAAAGAGGAGGAGGAGGAAGAGGAGGAGACAATACAGCTGCCTCTGTGTTGGCTCCAAACAAAGAAGAGTCCAATCAGCTCCCATTCAGCTTCACCTCAACATAATTCAAAATCTGACCTAAAAAACGCGAATTTGACCACAAAGTGTTTTTGTTATGATGATCTAAATAATCCAGGTGTGACAGTTCGTGAGTGTTAAGGTATTTTAATGTTGTTCTGGTTGATAAGAATCCTTCTCCAAACCATCAGGGAAACTCGCGTCTCTTTTTTTTTGCGCATCTGGACATTTTCCGCTCAGAGAAAACAACAAACTTCTTTAAATACATGCAGTGTGATTGATGATCAGCTCCCAGCAGAAGCAGAAACAGTGAATCGGGATAAGTTGAGACTTACTTGTGGCTCAGTGGGAGCAGCAGGGGGATTCCAGCCTCCCCTCCCCGGGCAGCGCGTCACTCTCTCAGCTTCTGGAGGTCCCGCTGTCACGAGCAGATCAACACGCTCCCTTTTGTTATTTTTTTTTTTTTTTTAAGTTTTTGTTTTTGTTTTGTTAGTGAGGCTCGGTCTCCGGTTCTCCTCTCCCGGGACTCCGCTTCTCGGTCCTCCTGTTTTCAGGACCACGGACAGCGGCAGCAGCTCTTATACCTCCGCCCTCCCGACCAACGTGACTCCTGCGTCAAGAGGCCCCCCATTGACGTCACCAGACTGGGTTTCATTCACAAGATTTTTTTGTTTTTCCTACACACACACACACACACACACACACACACACACACACACACACACACACACACAACACACACACACACACACACACACACACACACACACACACACACACACACACACACACACACACACACACACACACACACACCTCTCTCCCCTCGACCATCAATTAGCTCGCTGCTGAATGAATCCGCAGTTTACGAAGCTATCTCATCATGGTTTCGTGTTTTAGCAGAGATGTTAGAGACAGAAAACCTTTTCCGTCACAGGTTGCATCACGAGCTGCTCAGTAAAACACAAACATCACAGAGGAGAGAGGCAGTAAAAAGCATCCACAGCTTATACACTCACACAGACAGTATTATCCTGGGGGGGCTTCTCCAGGATTTCTGGGCCCCATGAAGTTTAAAAACAGGAACTAGTGAATCTTGGCCGTCTAGGACTTCTATTTTTGTTTCAGTGGTATCAAACAAGCAGGGGCGTGTCCAGACTTTTTGGACTGGGGGTACTGGTGTACTGACATGTGCAGGATTGGCCTGGAGTTTGTGTGCACGCACATGAATAAAGAGCGTTTATTTATCAACCACTTCTGTCTGCACCAATCACCTGGACTTTTAGGTAACACAGTATAACGGACACGTAGACATCTTCTCAGCTTCACTCTTAAAGGACTCAAACAAAGATGTCCAGTCACTATTTGAAGTGTTTTAAAAAAACATAACAAAAACACACGAGTCTCCCCTCTGGTCAGGCAAATGGCCAATCAAAGTGAAGGCTATGGCTACCATAGCAACCTGAGAACAGTCTTGTTCAGGATTTTATTGTACTGGAAGTTAGCGGTTGTTTTTTTAACGCAAGGTTTTACGACCATCATGACGTTTTTACACAGAAAACAACAACACAGTTTAGCTTAAAAGGCTTTATTTCTTTAGAAAAGTACATTCACACATTGAGTCCCTTTAGCCGTTAGATCATTACACATTCTCTCAGACAGAGCGTCGCCTGATACACCTTCAACTCTGAACTTTATTCAATGCAACAACAAAACGTTAAGGTCTTTGATTATAATAATCCTCTTTGACAGGAAGTAACTGTAGAACAAAACCGTTAGCATACAGAGTTGACTGAGCAGAGGGCTCTATCAGTATTTTAGCGACTCAGTGGTCAGAGGTCAAGATAAACACACCAGGAAGTAGAAGAGCTTCAGTCCCGTAAAGAAGAATACGAGGAGAAAGCTTCAAACAAAGTGCTCGTCAGGACCAGGTCCCAGTCTGATGAGCTGTTAGCTAGGATCAGTACCAAGTCCTGGTCTGAGGGAGAATGCTGAGATTTGAGGCACAGATAAGTATTCTGTCTTTAAGGGAGTAAAACGTGATCCTGATGTTACCTGGTGTGTTCTAAAGGTTAACTCTAGTCCGTCCTGATTGGCTCATTTCTGGTCTTTGATCCTTTTGGACATTGCAGATTTTTATTAGAAGGTAACGTGAAAGCACAAGTTCAGACAAGGCAGCAAAAATAATCAAGAGAAAATAAAACCTGAAACTAATTCATTCAAACTCCACAAACTGTGATCCAAACACATTCAGAGGAGGTTCTGGTTCTGGTGCGTCCTATATTCCGATATAAAAAATGGACACACACACCGTCTTTATCGTGAGTGAAGCCGCCCAAGAAAATCACTTTGTTTACACTCATGAAGCGTCAGAAACATCCGCAGTGTTTAGACTCTCAGGTTCTTCAAATGTATAAAACAGATTCAGCCCTCGTACATTCAGTACACGTGAACGCCTTCGATTCAAAGCACAACGCAGCCCAGACAAGGCGACTGTTCCTTTAAGAGAAACCAGGAAATAAAGGCTTAAAACATCACGAGAAGTTTAAAGAGCGAGAGAATAATAAAGTGAAGAAGAAAACTAACTGAGATTGCCTTCAATCCTATCAGTTATAATTGTGTAGTCATTTCACTTAAACATAGAGTCTGTTTCCTGTTTCCTTCAAAATAAAATACAGACTTCTCCTAAAGTAAAGCTGCTTCATTGTCCCTTCTGGGCCTCCGTACATGTGTGGTGGTGACGGTGGCCCTTTCCGAATTGTCACAGTTCAGTATGCAGTACGTACTATTCAGTAGAGAGTTTCAGTGTACTGAACTTTCGTGGTCATTCAGTATGCATTTTTTGGGTGCACCTCAGTATACTGAACATTTCAGTATGGATACTAACTTCCTGGTTTCATGCAGTAAGGATCGGATGCCTGCTTTCAGGAAATGAATTGTATTTTACCACCCACAATGCAGTGCGAAATTAAACGTAAGTCGTCACTTCACGTCCGCCTCCAAATCAAAACAAACGAGCGTGGATTAATTGAATACATTTTTAATCTAGAGTTAAAGTCCCGACTGAAATCACTACTTTAAATTAACAACAGAAAATATAACAAATATCTGCATTATTATAAAACCTTTCTCCCTCTATTCAAATAATGATTTCACTATTTAAATGCGTCTGTATTGGTTTATTTTACTTTTTATTCTGTATATTACTGTCTTTCATTTGTACTTTCCTTTATGTACTGTATGTTATTTAGTTATTTAATCTGTCTTTTACTTGATTTACATTGTGATATTGTTTTTTGTTTACCTGACTGTATATGCGCATCACTACAAAAAAAAACGGGTGAATGCGGCCGGTTCAGGAAACTTAAATTATGTCACTTCCATACTGAATGCATCAGAAGAAGTAGGAACAAATATCTGCCTACTGTGTGTGCATACTGAATAGTAGGTACCAACAGTAAACAGCATGGATAGTACGTACTGCCTACTGCCTACTGAAAGACTGAGTAGGTACTTGGCAATTCGGATACAGCCTTTGTCTGCAGAGACTTTGTCCTGTAACTGGATTTTACTGTTCTGGTTTGTTCTGGTTGACTCGGGACGTTTCTGGGCGGAGCTGGTGTGTTTCCTCCAGCCAATGACAGCGCAGCAGGTGAGTTTAGGAGTGGATACAATTCAGTGATTGGACGTGATTCAAATCGTTGAATATGACGGACGTGGACGTCGCATCAAAGAAGAGAAAATATAATCACAGTGAGGAGAAACCCCAAGCACATAAAGCTCGTTCTAAAACGAGGGTGAACCTTGTGTTGACGTGGAGTTGGTCTGCTTCCTGATGGACAGGCAGGTGACAAACACTGGCGGTTAGCTTGTGCTAGCGTACGTTAGCTACGTTCTGCAGGGAGTGGGCGTGGCTTCAGGAGGAGGGCCCAGTTTGAATGTTGTGTTTAAAAACATTCCTACAGACTCCACCAAGTGTCAGGAGTCGTCATGGCATCCCGATCATCTTCTAAGGTCGTCAAAAATATTCAATAGAGGCATGTAGGAGAGGAATCAACCCATCAAACATCGCGAACAAACTCCTCGCCGTCACGAGTACGCTGCAAGCGTATCGGAGGGAAAGCCTTGGACTCAGGTGGTTGTTTTCTTTAATGCATGATAAAGCTTCGAGGTCTGGACGGATTCAATTCACGTGAATGTTTTTCAAGTTTGCTGCGTGCCGAGTCGTGAGTTTGATGCTGGACGCCGTCAGGACATTTAAAGTGTCAGGAAACGTAAAAATTGAACTTATGACGACTTCTTTTAGCAAAGTGAAAAACTAAAGAGAGAGTTCTGAGGGCGCCGGTGGCCTAGTGGCTGGTTTGAGTGGCCCGTGTACAGAGGCTGCGGTCCGGGTTCAGGTCTGACCTGTGGCTCCTTTGCTCTCTCTCTCTGTGTTTCAGACTCCACCACTGTCCCGGCTCTAAGTCATAAAAAGCATCTGACTTGGCTCCATCGCCCGGCAGTGCGTTACTCTCCTGACTCGTCACGTTCGTAATAAATAGGATTGAAGACAAACACAGCATTTTATAACTTTACTTAAAATGTCTTCCGATTTTCTATATATTTACTTTATTCTTAAATATGTTCAAACTTACAAACATCTATAAAACTGTAGACTAAGCATCAAGTGCGTCGGATTCATCCGCTGCTGAAAGCAGTCCCAACAGGTGAAGTATTAACGAGCGCCTCTATTTATTTCTGACAAATCAGCTGAGAGACGCACTCACACGATCGCTTTGCGTCACTTCATTCAACCCGCAGGAAATAGAAATAAATACAGGATGACATCAGACAGTTTTTAAACCAATCACAGCGCAGACCTGACTCAACCTCGTTATTCTCCTCTGAACTGTCTGAGCAGCAACGCCAGACTCACCCTTTAAAAACACACAAACCCCGACACACGCACACATCCTGATCCCCCCCCCCCCCAGACACACACAGACAGAGCTAAAGGGCGTGTCAGGTCAAGGATCTTCTGTTCTTAACTGAGTCTCTTTCCCTTCAGTCCTCAGTACAGATCTGGCCCCGCCCTCTCTCTCCTCTGGCCCCGCCCCACAGTGTCCACAGTCTGTCAGAAACCTGCTGCTTGGAGCTACGCCAAACCCATCTCCTCCAGCACGCTGCGTGGAGACTCGTCCTCCTGTGAACGCACACGCGCACACGCACACACGCACACACGCACACGCACACACACACACAGAGAGAGAGGTCAGTCTGGAGGACTCAGTTGTTTACATCAGAGCACAGAGTCGTCTGTGTCTCGCCAACGTCTTGACTTTCTTAACCAGTGACACACAATGATGCCTCTCCTCCAATAAGGCTTCATGTAAAAACAAACGCCACTTCCATACGTCTGAGGGTCTTTAGATCGCAGTACAAACAGGCCGGAGGATCCGGTTACTGGTGCTAACAGTTGTGGGAGGAGCTAACTCACCTCCTGCAGCAGGTCGGCTTGTTCGATGGCTTTGAGGACGCTCTTCTTGGACGTGTCCTGGATCTCCCCTCCCATCAGGAACTCGTCCAGGATGAAGTAGGCCTTCTCAAAGTTAAAGATGATATCCAGCTCGCATACCTGTACGCACAGGGACACACAGGTACACACACGTACGTACGTACACACACACACACACACACACACACACACACACACACACACACACACACACACACACACACACACACACACACACACACACACACGGACACACACACACACACAGGGACACACACACAGGGACAGGTACATGCAGAAACAGGCAGGTAAATGTCTTTCTCCTCCTTCAGAGGGTAAACAGAACAATCAGAGATTCAAACTCACGCTGCCAAAGTATTTATCCAGCAGCTCCACAAATCGGTGGATGACCTCCAGAGTGATCAGCTCGTTGTCCTGCTCCTCGATCGCACAACAGAAATACAAACTGGCGTACCTGCAGAGACACACAACAAAACAACACACACGTTAATATATAAGAAGAGACGCACAATTAGAGACACGCTCTAATTAAGCTGTGAGGTGCATGTGTGAAGAGCCAGGTCAGGAGGATTTGTCCACATATTTTCTGGAGGGCAGATGTGAAATTGGCTTTTGACACACGTCTTGTCAACAAACTTCAAAAACACAGGTGAGAAGTGTCGCAGGAAAAGACGAGACGATGTACGAAACATGTGACACCTCAAGAAGCTACATGTCTGATCTGTCAGCGCTGCTTTCTGCAGCAGAAGAAAGAACATGACGTTCAATGGCAGATGTAATAACTCTGATGTCTCCCTGAGATTTCCCATGGTGCTCTGCTTTGAAGTTTAAGACATGAAGACATTTTTAGTTTTTAAGGATACCCCCTTTGACTTTGATGACCCGTGGTGTCAGAAAGTCCCAAAGCTTTAAAATCAACTTCAGACCTTCAGTCACAAGTTGAATCCAAAGACAGAGAGGAAGGTGTTTGGATTTTACTTCCTGTCTTATGATTATTTATTGAATTTATCGTCTTCTTAATCGGTTGTTTGTTAAATTAATGAACTCGGCAGTTGTCATCGGGATGAAGGATGAGGAGATGCAGAGATCCCCGAGTTCATCTCCTCTGCAGAAAATCCCTTAGTGATCACACACAGGATCTCTCACACACACACACACACCTTCTCCTTTGTGCTGTTTGTCCACCTCTGCATTCTGCTGGCAGTAATGAGCCCTGTGTGTGTTTGTGATTGTGTGTAGTAAGATCAATGAGGGTGGAAAGCTGGGTTTCTCCCTTTCCTCCTACATATATTCTCACTGCTCAGCGCCCACACCCACCCACCCACACGCACACACTATTGTTTTTGCAGATATTAAACACGATTGTCAAATGTTTGAGATACTTTTTGATACCTCAAGTTTTGAAACGATACAAACGCTGTTACTTTAATGATCGATAGTCTCAAAGAGTAGAAGAAGAAGACAAAGAAATGTCTTGAACACTCCGTTATTGAGTCATGCTAAACACATGAAAGAGCACCAGAGCAGCTGGAGATTCGGTGCCTTGCTTAATTACACCTTGACCGAGCTCAGGAAGTGACCTAGCACCTCTCCAACTTCCAGACTCAGTCCACACCAGGACTTGAATCGGTAACCCTCTCATTCCCAACTATGGTCCCTACAGACTGAGCTACTGCCGCCCCAAGCACAGAAGCATTAAAAGAAACCTGACAGTTAGAGAAAGGGAGAGAGTGGGAGAGAGCGAGAGAGAGAGGGAGAGAGAGGAGAGTGGGAGAGAGCGAGAGGGAGAGAGAGAGAGAGAGAGGGAGAGAGAGAGAGAGAGAGGAGAGAGTGGGAGAGAGGGAGAGAGAGAGAGAGAGGAGAGAGTGGGAGAGAGGGAGAGAGAGAGGGGAGAGTGGGAGAGAGCGAGAGGGGAGAGTGGGAGAGAGCGAAGAGAGAGAGAGAGAGAGAGAGAGGGAGAGAGAGAGAGGAGAGAGTGGGAGAGAGCGAGAGAGGGAGAGGGAGATGGAGCGAGAGGGAGAGAGAGAGGAGAGAGTGGGAGAGTGGGAGAGAGAGAGTGGGAGAGAGCGAGAGGGAGAGAGTGGGAGAGAGGGAGAGAGAGAGAGAGAGAGAGGAGAGAGTGGGAGAGAGAGAGAGAGAGGGAGAGGGAGGGAGAGAGAGAGAGGAGAGTGGGAGAGAGCGAGAGAGAGGGAGAGAGCGAGAGAGAGGGAGAGAGCGAGAGAGAGAGAGAGAGAGAGAGAGGAGAGAGAGAGAGAGAATGGGAGAGAGCGAGAGAGAGAGAGACAGAGGGAGAGAGAGGAGAGAGTGGGAGAGAGGGCGAGAGGGAGAGAGAGAGAGAGAGGGGAGAGAGAGAGTGAGAGGGAGAGAGAGAGAGAGAGAGGGAGATGGAGAGAGAGGGAGAGAGAGAGAGGAGAGTGGGAGAGAGCGAGAGAGAGAGCGAGAGCGAGAGAGAGCGGAGAGAGAGAGGGAGAGAGCGAGAGAGAGAGCAGAGAGAGAGAGAGAGGAGAGAGAGAGGAGAGAATGGGAGAGAGCGAGAGAGAGAGAGACAGAGGGAGAGAGAGGAGAGAGTGGGAGAGAGGGCGAGAGGGAGAGAGAGAGAGTGAGAGGGAGAGAGAGAGAGGGAGAGAGGGGAGAGAGTGGGAGAGAGCGAGAGAGAGGGAGAGAGAGTGGGAGAGAGCGAGAGAGGGAGAGGGAGAAAGAGAGAGAGAGAGAGAGAGAGAGGAGAGAATGGGAGAGAGTGAGAGAGAGGGAGAGGGAGATGGAGAGGTAGAGAGAGCGAGAGAGAGAGAGGGAGAGAGAGTGGGAGCGAGAGAGAGGGAGAGAGAGAGCGAGAGAGAGAGCGAGAGAGAAACAGGTTCTCCACACAGATCGCTGACATCTGCATTTTTTCTCCTCTTCTGAATCTCACCGTTTTCAGACGCTCTACAGCCCCCGTGTGGTGGGAATACGCCATTACAAGCAGACACCTGAACGGACGCTCTGAGTGGCAGAGTAAGCCTTCAATAAAAGTTATTAGCTAATAAATATTCAATCTGATCCTCTGCTGACTCAGCAACAAGTTAACCCCGTGCACTTTGACCACATGTGACTTTACGTATAAAAGGTGTAGGATTGGTTTAACAGCGACGTTTTCACCTGTTACTGAACAGAGAACGTCAGAGTGACACCTTTATGAGGCGTGCAGGAGTTAGCCGGAACGAGCTCGTAAACCAGCGGATCATCTAATTGGCTGTTGCCTGCTCATTGTGCACTCTGTCACATGTGGTCAAAAATAAATGATCCTTCTTTTTACCGTTTGTAGACGATCTTCAGGTCCCTCCACTCCAGGAAGCTGCACATCTTTGGTTTGCGAGCGAGCACAATCTGCATCAGCTCTCGGACCATCTTCTTCTTGTCGCGCTCGGCGGTCGCCGTGTACCATTTCTGCAGCCGAAGCTTCCCCTGCCGGCTGAATAGCAGCATGAACCGCATCTGAAGAGACACAGGAAACGGGTCAAAGCGGGAGACGGGAGCGCTCTATGAGCAAGAGGTTAAAAATATGAGGAGGTGATAAAGCTACACGTTCAATCTAAAGATGTTGTTGTTGTCTCCAACAGGCTCAGGTGGTTATTCTAAGTGTTGGAACACGTTACAGAGACATCGAGATATAGAGACACCACAGATCTACGTTAAAGCAAATCTCTGATGTCTACACCGAGTTCAGCGTGACATCCTCACGTGCACACACATCGTGCTCTGCAGCTCCACATCCTACACTACAGGTTTATTTGACATACAAACACGACAAACACAATCTGCAGCTGGAACACACGGACGACACTGACACAGGTCTACAGCGATCTGTACTTACGTGTGTGTGTGTGAGCAGAGCTGCCTTTGTGTGTGTGACAGAGGCACCGTGTAGGAGGTTTGGTTCCTGTTTGATTTACTGCAGCAGGATATAAATACTGTCCAAGCAGCTATTAAAAACACTTGTATTTGTTCAGAGCAAAGAAAGCTTCAGCGCTGCTACACAAGCGTCACAAACTAAGGCGGGCTGAAGTATGTGGACAGCAAACATACCAGCTTCATGTGACAGCTGAACATGTGACTCCTCTGCTGGTTTCAGGACTCAAAGAAGGTACTAATCTGTGTTTGAGACACTGATGCTGCTTTCACTCCTGCACTAAACATCCTGTGATTATCGGGTTGAGCTGCATGTGTGAACGAAACAGACTAATGAAGACCTTTCACATCTGCACTCCTAAATATATCTAAAGACTCAGGAGGACGAGGACTGCTCCTGAAAAAAAATCCTCCAGACCTGGTTGTTCACACATGCACCTCACAGTGAGACGCATATTCCTGCCAGCCCACTTGTAAATGGGGGTGAGCTGACTACAGACTACAGGATTTTATCCAGATTATCATGGCCATTGGAGGAACGCTCCACCTCACATGACCTCATGTAAACAATGGAGCCGGGGGTCAAATTTGAGATTTTTACGCAGGGAGAAAAAAACATAAAAAGCATGTTTGGGTGAAGAAATATCTCAGGAGATGCGGGCAATGTGGATTGTTCTTCGGTGAGATTTATAAAAATCCACTTCACCATGTTTCTCTAACTCTAATATGTGTCTCTAGTCTGTCTACAAACCCCCCAATAATGAGAAAAGTCCATCCTCTCCATCTTTTGTCTGCTCCACTTTTCAGAAAATGTGTGCTCAAACAGGCCGTTTGGAGATTTTCCCTTCATGACATCACAAAGGGCAGTAACCCCTCCCCCAGATGGGTGACACTCCCACAGCTAGGTGTTTGTTCTGCCCTCTGAGTCTGCCTTCTCACCGTAAACAATAGGACATGGAGCGAGAAAGCCTGAGACACCTGAGCCCTTCCAGAGAGGGGACGTGGTCAGTACACAGCTCATTTACATATTTAAAGGTACAGACACAGAAACAGCCTGTTCTGAGCAGGGCTGAAATAGAGGGTTTTAGAGACATGATCAAATACAGGATCAGAGTTGATTTAGAACAAGAAACTTCACACACATGTTTTGGGGACGTCTGAGACTTATTTACACTGAAGAGGAGGAGGATATGTGACCTTTAACTGTCAGATGCATTCAAGGTGTCCATCACACCTGTACAGGTTGGGTCTTGCCACCCGTCACCATTACTACTATCCTCCCTCGTCTCTCGCTGTTACTGTAATCAGACACAGATTGGATCGTTAAATCACTCCCACATGACTTTATGAAATAAACACAAAGTACTTGTTCCCTGATGAAGGGAAGACATCCCTCACCCCAATGATGCCCCTATGCCTCACTGACAGGTTACATAACTGACCATATGGCCTTTACTCGCCACCACAACAAACAAAATACAAAGATAATCAGTTCAGAGCAGTGTTGCGAGTTACGATTAACGTGAAGGAATCGCATCTCAAACCGTCAAGACAATCAGTCTGAGACGACTTAAAGGAGCAGTAAGTAACTCTTGGACCTTTCCACCCACCCACCCAAACCCAAACCCACACCCACACTAATCGATATATAATTGAATCTCATAATTAATTAATTACTCCAGGTGTTCCAGCAGAGTGGTATTAAAAACACACCTGAATAACAGTCAGCTAACTGTCTCCTCCCTTGTTGACACAGACTAACACCTGGGGATTCACTCGTTACCTGTGAGGGCTCATGGTTCAGGTGTTACACTGAGCCCACCTGTCTGACTCAGTGTAACATGAGGCGTTAGCTTCTGGATGTCATTTAAAAACAGCTGATGTTCAAACAGGTGACAGTGTCAGTAACAGAGTCTCACCTGTCCTATCACACGACCTGGCAGCTAACATGCTAACATGCTAACTCTCTCTGCAGACGGAGGCCAGGTGAAGGCAGCGCAGGTGAACTTCCTGAAACCATACACCTTGCTAGCATTAGCCTAGCTCCTGCCTTTTCTTTTGAACAGAATCAGAAGCAGTAACTCACCATGTCGTGTGGATTATTTAAAAACTACAGCGACGTGTGAAACGCAGTGAACGTCCACTCCTCCGGTCCGACGCGCACACACACACCGCAGCTAACAAGGACAGTTCATCTGTGTGTGTGTGTGTGTGTGTGTGTGTGTCTGTCAGGTACACTGGAACTACACCGGACCCATTCACCGCTGCTCGGCATTTCCGCCTCTGCTGAGCATGCGCAGAACATAAATATTAATATGCCCTGAGTTTGTCCTCTCAGGTAACAGCGGCGCTTTAAAGGGACATGACAGATTTTTCCTTTAGTGTCTTTAGGCTCTTAAGAGAATGAAGGACAAAACACAACAACAGCAATTATATTACATATTACAAAAACGATAAGGAGGCTCGGGGATTCATTTAATTATTCTAAGTCTTCAATATTGTTAAGTTTTTTTGTGCAATATAATATATTTCAGGGATTTGCATTAAAGTATGGTGGCCCTAAAGGTGAACTTCAAAAACATGCCACTAAATGCAAAAAAAAAATTCCATGGGTGTAAACACTTTTCACTAATCCCCCCAAAAAAAACATTGCACTCCTGAAAATATCGAGATCATTTCAAGAGGACTGTCCGGATATTCTCCTGATCTGGTTGTTACATGCACCTCAGAATATGTGTCTTTCTATCAATGCTACGTGTAGTTGAACAGAATCTCAATGTGAACTAAAGAGTGGAGAAGAACATACTGGAGAACAGGAAACATAATGCAGCAGGTTCATTAGAGCACGGAGATGGTAGAGGTGGCGTGCAGACAGTCTATGGTCGTGTAGAGATCACAGGGAATAAACGTCACCACCCCCTCCCACTGCTCCAGGTAATTCTCCTGATTATATCCTGCTGCGTTCTCACATCAGCTCACTCTGACTTTCTGCAGAATAAATACGAGGAGGCTGGAGGAGAAACTCTGGGTGAAGAGAGAAACATTCAGCTGTTTGTGTTCACACATGATGCTCCTCCAGCTAATCTGGATTATCTGGAGAAGCATCTGGATTTTTTTTTGCATTTTTGGCAGAAAACTCCTGACATATCTTTTAAATATTTAAAAGAGGCCAAAAGAGGTCATGCTGTCAATAGAAGGCTTTTTGTCCTTATCTGCAAAGCATCTGTTTCATGCATTGTTCCTGTGAAGGACTCTCGTATGAAACTCGCTGAAGGTTATGAAAGGGTAATAATTGCACATTAAATCTTTTTAAATCACAGCTGGGCTGAGCACACAGCAACATTAACAATAACGATCACCTGTGCAGCCTTTTGTTACGTAACTCTGCGACACACCTGAGACATGCAGAGCAGCAATGCAGGAACGTTAGTCATCTTTTTACGCTTCATTTTGAGTCTTGTCCATCGTTGTGCTTTTACATCGACAGTTTATTTCAGGATATTCAAAATAAACTATGTTCAGTGTCAGAAACTACAACATAAAAGCATCTTAAGGAATAATATGTGAGTTTTTGATCCAGTAGATGTCACCCTTGAGCACCAGCATGAAACCAAAACAAACTTCTGTTTCTCCATACTGAAGCCTCCACTCTCCTCCAGAGACACACCTCCAACCCCCCTCCCAATTCAAGCGCAAGCGGTGGACAAAATGGTCCTCTGCTCGAGCTACAATCACCTGTGTCCTGCATTGTTGTGTTAGCAATCTAATGTTAGCTCTCTTTAGTTAGCTCGTAGCTTCACATTGCATGTAAATTCACACAGAATGACTGTCCTTGACTAAAACAGCTTTTATACACAAGAGGAGGAGCCGGCCGTCCCGTCCATGTAAACACGGCTCTGACAACAACATAGCCAGCGGGACTCGAGCTTCGCACTCATTGTAGACAGTCATGACTCAGAGACACATTTACACAGGATAGACTTGATTCATGATATATTTATGTGGAACATGTCATATTATCTCCCTCGTTCAGAATGCTCCGCTTTGGTGTGTGTGTGTCTCTTTAAATGCAATGACCCCCCCCCCCCCGAGTTTTCCAGGTAGACATCACTCCTCTGTAACAAGAATAAAAATGACGGACCTGCTAAAAAGTTTTGTTCAAGTCTGGGGGTGGAGTCCATGGGTGGAGATACCAGGGGAGGGGAGGGGATTTTTTATTTTTTATTTCATATTTTGTGGGTCAGTAGACACTCAGGTTACCCAAATATATGTTCAAAAACACTGTAGAAGTGGATTAATCATGAAATGGCCCCTTTAAGATTCGATACCGTTCAGTATTTGGGACTTTATGTTTTTATTTGATGCTTGTTTGCCAGAAACCTGCCGGTCTGCATTCCTTGAAGTTTAATGAGTGGTGAGTGTAAAGTGATCCTACCACAGGGATGGGTCAGCAGTCTTTAAGGTGTTTCAAGTGTTTCCCCGTTTGAACACCAGAGGGCGGTGTTGTTCCTCCACAGTGATCACAGACGCAGTAGCTTTGTAAAAACATAATACTTTAATAAATATAAATACTGCAAAATGTAACATGAGGAATTACAAAAATAGACATTAGGAATAAAACACGGTAAAATAACTCTTCTTGGTCCGCCTCTCCGTGAAGTGCAATCATGTCTGATTCATTAATTTGAACTTTCCTTCATTTCCTCTTCAAACACAAACATTCAGACAAATAAATAAAAGTTTACAAAAATCGCTCTAAAGTCTCAGAATGTTGTCGTGTTCAGCGTGTGTGTCTTTGTGTATTAAACATCTTATAAATAAACCTTATTCTGTTTGTGTGTGTGTGGTCAGTGTGTGTGATCAGTGTGTGTGTGTGTGTGTGTGTGTGTGTGTGTGTGTGTGTGTGGTTTCAGCAGCAGTAGTCAGACTCAGGCGGATGAATGAACGTCTTGAACGTCTTCAGGTTATTGATGTTGCGGCTGATTGACCTGACCGGCGAACAGAACAGCACCTGAGACGGAGAAAAGGACGACATTAGACACTCGCGAAGCTCGTAGAATAAAAACGGACTGGTGAAGGTGGAGCGAGCGTTACCTGTGGGTTTGTGCTGGATGAGGAAGAGGAACGGTCGGTCCAGAGTGAGCTCCTCCACGGCCATACGAGAAAACATCACAGCAGCTGCAGAGACGACAAACAGGTCAGAGTCTGAAACTGAAACTGGGACTCGGGGTTCACCTCAATCTGCCTTATATGTTCAAGAGGAGAACGTAGCAGAGGTGACCTGCAGATATCGCCACACCCGTTTAATATCTTTACTGTTCTGACCACGAGTTTGTGCTTTTATTGACCCCTAACCCTAACCACGACCCTAACCCCGCGTCTAACCACGACTCTGTTTGTGTGACTCTTGTTACTTTTCTAAACCGGTATCTGACCCTACCTGTTGCAGCGGATCCTCGGGTTCCTCTCTCGTTCACCTCGATCTTCACTCTTTGCAGAACCTTCGACACACACAGCCGTTCATCAGCTGCACACACACACACACACACACACACAAACACACACACACATTAGCTACACAGTTCTTTTAACCAGTTTTGTATGTATCCATGTTTAGTCATCCTGGAGCTTCACTTACTGGTGATGCGCGTGAAGTCGGCGGTCGCCAGGTTGAACATGTCCCCCAGACCCATGTTCATCAGAGTAGACTTCAAGTTCACTTTCGAGTCCAGAGTGAACCTGCAAACACACAAATGCTCGAGTTATTAAAAGCGAAGACCCATTAACTATAAAATAAAATGATTGACAGCTGTCTCCTGACCAACAGGTGTGAGGACTCACCTGGGCAGGGCCAGCTGTCTCTTGACGTTCCTAAACTCCGCCCTCCACTGATGGATCCTCTCGCTGCTCAGATCCGCACTGAGCGTGCTCAGTAGAACCTCGGGCTCAAAGGGAGACACCAGGAGCATGCTCAGTGAGTTTCCCTCGTAAGGGACCTCAATGACATCATAGTCCACACCATCAGCGGTCACGAACTCACCTGTGGTTAAAGGAGAAGGTGAGTTAGGTGTTAATTCAAGAAGCACACAGTGGGACACATGGAATCGAACTAAAGGCATGTTTCCACCTGAAACTCTCAGTCCCAGGAACTTCTTTTCAAATTCCTTTAAGTTCCTTCAACACTTTGTTGGCGACGTTTTTGTTGTGAAATTTAACCATCTGTCCTCTGTAATGCCTCTGCCCTTTGGGTCCAGCAGAAACCTTTATTTAAAGGTTCCTAAAGCAGTCTGAGATCTAAAGACCCAAAAAGATTTGGAATAATGACCCTGATGGCGCGTTAAATAGTCTTAGAGCTATAGAGCTGCAAGGACCGACCTTAAAGTCCTTGTACTTTTCAAAAGTTCTACCCCGACACAAGGGGGCTGCAGAAACTATGAAACCTATAAAAGAAGTTCCCGTTACTTTTGGTGGAGATGCAGATTTTGTCTGCTGATGAGTGAAAGAGTCTCCTGCATGCTTCAGAGTACACGAGCAATGAGAGATTTTCAGAGCTAGTAAGTCCCGACGCCAAATGTCCCTGTACTTGCAAAATGTTCCATCCACCTAGCAGGAACTGTTTGGGGGTCAACATAACTTTACTCAGACCCCCAGCCCTCAAGCTGGGTACCTCCTAAAGTCCCTGAGGAAAGTTCCAGCTGTGGAAACACAAACAGGACAGTAGAACTCTTTGCAGGAACTTTGAACCCTATAAAAGAAGTTCCTCTGTTCTCTGGTTACTTTTGCTGGCGATGCAGCTTTTTCTCTGCTGATTCGTAAGTAGTGAGCACTTGAACAGCTTCAGAGTGAAACCTGAGCGTACCGTAGTGGAAGCGGTTGGTGAGTCTCATCATGTGCACGGGTACAGAGCTGCCGTTAGCGCAGCGGAACATCCTCTCCTGGGTCAGTTTGGGATCGAAGGGAACCTTCCAGATACCCTGGAAGTGGAGCGCGTTCAGGAGAACCATGCGGGTCTCATCAGACAGAGAGCCAGATGCCAGGAACTCAGGGATGGATCCTACGGGAGAGAAAAGACAGAAAACAGGATTGAAGCAGAGAAAGTAGGACACTCAACACAAAGCAGGCGCAGGTTTATTTCTGCAGGTTCTACTCTCTTGGCATGGCGATGTGAGTACCTGCCGTGTGGTCTGACACCCAGGCGTTGATGACGTTGACGGCCTGATCTGGTTTGGTGAAGTCCATCTGGTGTGGGTGGGTCTGGAAGGCCTTGGCCAGGGCGCGGCGGTATCCTTTCTCTAGACTCATCTTCCTCTCCACCATCACCCCGCTTGCCGTGTCCACGCCCTCCTCGCTGGAGAGGTCTCTCTGCAGGAGGCGCTGCTGCCGGGACATACCTCGCTCTGCAGGACGGACGAGAGCAGAGTTAGAATTATATTTTTAATTTCTCTAAATATTTTTCACTATTGCATTTTAAGTCCCTGTTTGTTCCACATATCGCTCACCTTGCAGAGAGAAGCCCATGGCAGCATTTAAAGCTCTGCGCATGTTTCCTGCGGCGCCGAGCTGAGCCATGGTGAGCACCGAGGCCACGCCGTACGGGGACACGGCCATGTTTTGGTCTGGAGAGTTCTGGACCAGCTGAGAGAAAACCTTCAGGCCGAAGTCAGTCTGTTTGTCCTGCAGAGAGCCGAGACCGACTCTGCTCAGGGTCAGCATCAGGAAGACGTACACGCAAAGCATCCTGGGAAAGAGAACGGGAGTCTGTTTAAATTCTGGTTGGTTCAAAATAAAAAGTCAAACCTCTCTGGTGTTCACGGTGGGTCCTCCCAAAGGAGCTTAAATATGTCGATGTCTCATCAGGACAAAATGTTCCTGAGAAAAGAGGCGGGAGTTTGTGGGAATCGTTTGTGATTCAAAGAAAGAAAATGAAGAATGACTCAACGAGCGTGGAAACTCTCAACACGTGTTTCTAATCAAACGCTCACGAGTCTCAGACAGAGGTCAGGATCTTTGAAGCTTCCAGAAAACCCACATCAGCAGTAGCGTTTAGGTTCTGCACTTTAAAGAACTCTGAATAGAAAGTTAAACACACTAACACCTGTGTGTGTGTGTGTGTTAGTCACGCTGGAGTCATGTAAAGTACTGAGATGGAAACAGGCGGTCGGTCATGTCTGCTTTCCAGCTCACACATCAATAATGTGAACTCTGTGTGTGGGTCAAAGGTCAGCCCCGTGACATCAGTGTGTGTTTGTACAGTAAAGTCACTGCACACACACACACACACACACACACACACACACACACACACACACACACACACACACACTCTGTGCTCTCAGTGAAGATGAGTATATCTGCTCCTCGTCCTGGGAGTAAATTTGAGATGATTTCTGCCTGTAATGATCCTGATTGGTTCCTGACACGTTCTCTGCAGACGCCTCCATCATCAAAACTTACTATGAATTCTGGGTGTTTTAAAAATGGTCACATTAGTCATCCCCCTGAGTTTATTTAGGACAAGACGTCTATATTTCTGTACATTTAAATGAACAAACTGGCTGATGACACACTGTGATGTCGTGACCACCAGTGAGAATCAGCTTTTAATCAAAGCATACAGCTTCATTCAAACGCCACAGAGACGCCATAAAAGAAGAAGTACATGTGGACAAGTAAATATGATGATATAGTCATTATAAATATAATCATTGTGTGTACTCATATTCTTTAAAGAATCGACTGAGATCTCTTCAGTCTGCAGTGTGAGCACAAACTGTCGCTGACTGAAACGATGCTGGTTCCCTCTCCATCCTCATGATGATGTAACTGTTGAATGATTTTAAACGAGTTTGCAGCTTCCACACAGACGAGCAGAGCGGGGGGGGGGTCACAGAATAAACTGTCTGAACCTTTTTAACAGAGTTCTTTAAACTGCAGCTGCAGAGGTCAGTGAAGCTTCTGTCATCTCCTAATGCTAAAAACTTTTATTTACATCCTTTCAGGTGAATAAACAGACTTTAAACGTTATATAAAACCAAGAAACACTTTGAATCAAAGTTCAACTTGAAGAAAAACTCTGATTCTGCTGCTACTGGTCTCAGATTGAGTTTCTCTGTTATTACAAAGTCATATTAATAATTAGTATATATATTAGTAATAACTAATTAAATTATTAAAGATGTTAAATCAGGTTCTTACCTTGATGATTGTAAAGTTTCAGTTTTTTGTTGTTTCAGCTTCAGCCTCTCAGAGCGTCTGTTTCTGTCTGAAGCAGCTCCTCTGTTTATATAGGCTGCAGGGTGTGAAGCCCCGCCCCCCTCCTACACACACACACACACACACACACACACACACACACACACACACACACACATTATTAGAGACGATGATTTCATCTGACGCTGTCTGGACGGGCTTCCTCTCCTCCTCACTCTCTTTTCCCCCAAAGCATGACGGAGCAGATGGAAAGTCACTAAACAACACACACACACACACACACACACACACACACACACACACACACACACACACACACACGCATTCTTTTTATTAACTATCTTGATGAAAACTGTTAAGAATAAACTCAAAGTTGAAGAATCATCAGGAAAAAATGTTTGCAATGTTTTTTATCTGCTGAAGAAGAAGAGAGAGAGATGTAAAGCAGAAAACTTTGTTAGAATGATTTCTATTTTTAGCTTCGATCACGTCTTTAAACTTTAAACTTCTTCAGACTCATAACTCAGCTCTTTCTTTTTATTACTTAGAGATGGACAGTGGACAGAGTCAGACACCGGGCGAGAGAGTGAGGGAGAGAGAGAGAGAGAGAGGGGAACTTCATACGTGAGTCGAATTCGAACCCGGGCTGCCCGCTCTCGAGGACTTTTAACCCTCTGTTCATGGAGCGCATGCACAAACCACCAGGCTTCCTGCGCCGCCTCGTCGTTTTTTTTTACAAACACATTTTTCATCGACTCGTTCGCTTCGGGCTTCCGTATGAAACATGATGTCATACTTACATTTCAAATATCCATCCATCAATTATCTATACCGCTGGAGCTGATCCCAGCTGTCATTGGACCAGAGGCGGTTTTCTCTAGCCAATCAAAGGGCTGACATATAGACAGATAATCAGCCACACTCACATTCACACCTACGGACAATTTAGAGTCACCGGTTAACCTAACGAGCATGTCCCTGGACTGTGAGAGGAAGACGGAGTACCCAGAGAGACCCCACACATGCACAGGGAGAACATGCAAACTCCACACAGAGAGGCTCCTGACAGACGGGAATCGAACCAGGAACCAGGAACCTCCTCACTGTGAAGCGTGCAGCCCCCCATTTCAAAAATGCTTTAAATGCAGTTTATAAGTAACACTGTAAACTTCGTGTTGTTGTGTTTGCTGCTGTTTATTTAAGTCAGAACACTCCAACATAAACGTATCGGCGAGTGAGAGGAAAGATTTCCACAGCGACATCCTGATCAGTCGTGTTCGCACATGTTAAGACTCTGAAACCTGCAGAGTTTATACTCAGAGGGGAATTAAAAAACATTAGATGACGAATCAGACTCGCCTCTCGCTCTGTTCCTCCATGAATCATATCTGCAGGATCTTCTCCTGCAGCCCGACCTTCACACCTCGGGCTGTTGTGTAACCGTTGAAGTCTCAACATGTGAAGTTTGGAGGCTGAGTGAACGCCACCTGCTGCAGCCAGAGACGCTGTGAGAACGAGGAGAGATGTTTCATTTCATCATGTGTCTCTTTTTTATTATTGAGCACAGCGGTTCATTCAGAGCTGTAAGGTGAAGTCAGCCTCCACATACAGTCACTGTGAGGACCCTCACTGTGGGCTGAGTCGGGGGGGGGGGTGTGGCAGGACAGAAAGAAACACCAAACATGGTCGTACAGCCTCAAACATTCCTGACGTTACGACTCAGCAGCACCGCAGGAATCACACACTTTTTCCAGAAAATGACACAAAAATACTCAATGAACTCACTTTTCCTGCTGAAGGGTTCACCACAAAACTACAACTTCCTGTAAGTGACACAAACGTTTGTAAGGCTCGGTGTTTGAAGTGAGCTGATGATCTTAGCAGCTTTGAGAAAAACTGAGACAGATCCTCCTAAAATCTTTGTTGTGATCTGGACAAAAAAACAACGAGTCACCAGCGTTCACTGTTTAGACCAAAGAAACTTTAGAGAGAGAGAAACATCATCTGTCAGCGACTGATACACTCCTGAAAACTTCAGGCAGGCTGCCGTCTGAACAATCACACGTTTCCCTCACAGCGGGAACTTTTCAATGTCAGGCTGGAGTGGGGGGGGGGTCTCATGGGGCATCACGTGAAAAAGAGAGGTGGATGTGGTGGATGAAGCGCCAGAGTCCACACTAACATGACAGTTTTTGCTTTTAACACTTCATGTAACTGGACACATTCACAATCTGAACTGAAGAGAAGAATATTCAACATGCAGAAGCACGGAGATCGTAGCGATCGCAGCTCCCTCGTAAGGAGGTGAATTTCCCTGAGTACTTCCTGCTGCGCTCTCACATCAGCTCACTCGGACTCCACGATGAATATTCACAACGGAGGCTGGCAGGAGAGACTCGGGGTGAAGTCTGAGAGAAACATTCGTCTGTTGGCACTCATCATTCAGGAGTTTAAGGCGTTCACTAACAGACTGTGCGTTCACACCTGCACAAACATATAAAAGTCCAAACTGGACAGAATAAATGCCCTCACAAGTCTGTGTGAGTTATTACAATATAAAACAGGATAGTAGATTTGGATGACAGAGGGATTCAGTGAATACGAGACAAACTCCTGAACTCTCGTCAAACAGCTCGACCTGACTGACTCTGACTTCGCTCCGACTTTTCTCCTGAAACCCCATTTTGTAAATCTTGAAGTTGCGGCGAGCTGATGTGAGAATGCAGCAGGAAACATTCAGGGATCTTCACCATTCAGTGAGCATTCAGTTTAAAGCCTCCTCCACACGTAGGCGGTTATTTTTTTAAACGTAGCCTTTTCTGTGCGTTTTGACCTTTGACCTTTGGCTGGCGTTTCAGGTCCCTGTAAACTGTCCTTCAGTAAAACTCCTTCCAGGGTGAAGAAGTTTAGAAGCTCTGTTTAAGGTGTTTCTGTGTAGACGTCATCGTGTGACGCTGTCACTTTAGTTGACATGAGATTAGAGTGATGGCAGACATAACCAAACTAGCGCTGGTGCTAATGTTGCTAACTGGACTTTTTACATGCTCACACATACATACACAGTTACTCTCCCACTATTTTGACGGGCAGAGACGCCTGATTGGACGACGGAGGTCACTGCTGATTCATACGACAGTCCTACCACAGACCCCGCTGACATGTGTGGACTAGGTCTAAGTCTTTACAGAAACACCTGCTGTGTGACTGTAATCAGAGAAAAAGAGAAGTCCAGGTTTAGACGGAGATATAAAGGATTAAAACACAGACACTCTGATGTCATCGTGTGTCTGTGGAGAACATCTAAGAGGCATGACGCTACTCTTTAATGTCCTTGTTAAATCACATGAAACACACACCCACAGAGGATGATATCAGAGGAGATATTTTTAGAGTCGCTGCTGTTTGTTTACTCTCTCCAGATACATAAACACTGACATCTGTTTTTGTTTCTGGAACCCCCCCTTCCCCTGAGGATTTGGTACATTCCACATGAGGCTGTGAATGGAAAAGTGGCTCATACCACCCGCCCACCTCTCTGCAGGGGCTTCAGGGAACATGGGAATCTTCTGTTGCCAAGAAGAAACAAAACATTACACACAGACATAACTTTATATTTAGTCCCCTATCTTTCTGATTATTGTACTTTTAAAATTTTACATCTTCTTAATAACGCGTCCTTCATAAAGCTGTGTGTGTTCAGTGTTTAACAAACCAGATTCAATGTTGTTTATACTTGTGAACTCATTCTTCTGACATAATCCTGGATTGATGATGGAAACAGTCAGGACACAACATTCTTAACCAAACAGATATAAATCAGTCTGATGAGAACTGACTGTATTTATCTAGTTTGGCTCATGTTCTATCTGTTAACATGAAGGAGGTGGAGCTTATGATATATACTGCTGCCAGTCAGCAGGGGTAGCTCTAAATGTTTTGGCTTCTAATTTAGGAAGCTGTCACCCCATCCATCTTTGTACACGGACCAGTGGATGGACAGATAGCTGTGCTAAAGAAACCTCTGTTCCTGCATGTAGCTGCTACATGTAGCTCCTGCATGTTGCTGCTGTGTGTAGCTGCTGCTTGTAGCTGCTGTGTGTAGCTGCTGGATTTTGCTGCTGCATGTAGCTGCTGTGTGTAGCTGCTGCATGTAACTGCTGCATGTCCTCTGATTTATGAATTATCATTAAATAATCTTTATTCTGACCAAACCTGGAGACAAAAGTGTTGACACCCTTTTTCCTGCATGCTGTTGCATAAAGAAATTAGAGGAACTTGTTGCTAAAGGTCTTCTTCTCAAGAACTTCAGTGACCATGTTTGAGTTAAGTAATAGTTTCCTTAACGACACAAACTGTTTGTGTCTTTTTTTAACTAAAAAAAGAACATCCTCTACCCCACACCTCTCAGAGGAGGAGAGTTAGAGGAGAACATGTTGAACTGTGAGTAAGACTGAAGGGAATCCCCTCTTTCACTATTTGACTTTTTGACCCTGAGCTTTGTCTGTCAGGAACCACTCACAATGACTCTGCAGATAACGTGGTCTAACTCCCAACCTTTAGGAAATACCTAAAACTGTACTTATTAAAGATTTAAATTTTGTTCAGTAACAGTTTAAGAAGAATTCAATGATTCAGTCTTTATTTATACAGGGTCCCCACACTGTTACAGAACAGAGAACTGTTGTATGTATTCTTTGAGTTTTGTGTTTGTTTAACGGTCCAGAAAGCAACGGTGAACCACTATCATTTGTTTAACCACGGCGGTCGTGTTGAGCTCTAAATATTTCAGAATCTTGTTTTCCTTTGTTAGAGTAAAAGTCTAACCTCAGACCAACCGTCTGAATCTGCAGGTTTTAAGAAAACCTTTGATCCAACAACACGTCCATCAGAACAGCTGGTAAGAAGCTTTATTTGACCCTACAGGTCTGTTCTTCTCTGGCTGCAGTCTCACTTTCATTACAAACTGTTCAAACAACATGAGATCTGTAAAGAGGACGTTTCATAAACCAGAGTTACAAAGGGTGTTCAGCTTTTAGTGTTGA